TCTGCCTCAGAGTAAGCTGCACTTCCCTAAGGACTTTGGAATTTGCTGTGCAACCTTAAGCAAATCGTGTAATGTCTCTGAGCCTGTTCCTGTGTTTATAGAATGGGGCTTCCACACCTTATGGACAGGTCTGTGTTGGGACTCAATGAAATAATGAGTGTAGTACACAGTAAGTGTGGAATAAATAAATGCACCTCAGCAGCCAGGTCCTCTTCTTCTGGAATAGCTCCCCAGTTTTGTTTTCTTTTCTTGACCTTTGTATAGAGCTACATCCTCACACCCTTACCCCTTTTGGGGACAGGCTATTTAAGCTGCTAAATTGCCCAGGGGGGACTTAAACATGAAATTCACCTGCCTCATCCTTCCTGGCTGCAGGAACTAACAGACATGCACTATCGCACCAGTTACAGCCCCTGATTTTCTATTCCCTCGGAATAGGGAGCAGACCTGATAGAGCACATGGTATCCTCCTGGCTAGTGATTGTCTAGGGAATCATGCCTCTCAAGCTGGTCCAATCAGAGTGGCTTTGGGCCTTTTGGGGGTGGTGCTAAAACTTCTGGTCCCCATTACCTGGCGGGAACTCAGAAAGTTGTGGTCCCTGGCACCATCGAACCATCTCCTGACCACATAGAAGAAGACCCTGAAAATGGGGTCAGTAGAAAAATGAGGAGCTGGAAACGTGTTAACATCACACTTCTGGCTCCATCTCCACAGCGCGGACCCCTATTCCTTTATTTTCTGGCACCCAAAGTAAAAACTTTTTAAAACTTCAATCTGACAGGCTCAAACCTTCCCGGAGTCCCACAGACATCTAGTGGCAGAGCTGAGACTAAAACTTAAGCACCCCTGTCTTATATTCCATTGCCAAAGCCAGGCCCAGGCAGGGCGGGAACAGTGAGGCGTGCGGACCAGGCCAAGGTGCCCTGTGCCTCCACCAGGCATCCCCTCATGGCCCTGCCACCCCACCATCACCCTCTGGAACCAGCTCCCACACAAACAGCTGCCCCCAGCCCCAGTCTCAAGGGCTGCTTCTAGGAGAATCCAAATCCATGTGGCTGGTGGCTTTTAGACGCCTCAGATGTGCTAGATGTCTCAGTGATCCCAGAGACTCCTCTCTCCCGCTCTCTCTCTCTCTGCCCCCTACACACACAGTTTCTCCAGGGCTGAGAACACCCCCACACCCCCCACACCCCATGCCAAGGCCAGGGCTGGAGTCCCCAACCTGTCTCCACAATTCCCAGCCTGCAGCCAGGCCATCTTGTGCTCCCCGGATTGTGCTTGTGCGGCCCAAACACATCTAATCTCCGCCCTCTCCGTGGCCCTGCCCCTTGGGTCTCTGGAACCATTTATCACCGGCATTACTCCAACAGCCTCCTGGCCATCACCCTGCCTCCCACCACCCACATCAGAGACAGTGGCTAAAACACAAACCTCACCATGTCACAACATTCACCATGTCCTGTTTCTTCAGCTATACCTCAAGACCTTTGCACATGCCACTCCCCAAACTAGCCTGGGGTGCCACAGACAGCTCAGCCACCTGGCTGGCACACAGAAGGCAACCAGTGATTTCTGGCTTATTGTTTACTGTCCGCTAAAGTTGCCTATGCCACATCTCTGGTCTCCATCCATTCCCTCGTGGGGCACCGTTGATCTCAGTTATTATGAAATCATTCAGATATAAACACCTAAAGAACCAGCTGTGGTTGTGCATACCTGCAATCCCAGAACTCCACAGGCTGAGGTATCAGATCTTGGTGAGTTTGAGGCAGACTGAACTGCACAGCAACACCCTATCTCAAAAAAAAATTTTTAAATAACCTAATGTGGATATTTGAGAGTCATTTGGGAGGCTGAGGCAGCGCTATGTATCTAGTCCAAGGCCAGCATGGACTAGATACATAGTGAGACCCTGTCTCAAAAAACAAAATAAAATTTAAAAAGTAAATGCTTAAACACTCATAGAGCTCCCTCCTGCCACTGCACTTCTTAAAATATGTATTACTGGGGGCAACACCAAGGCATGAATGCAGGGCTGTCACACTGAGCTTCATCTCCAGCCCTTTAATTTGAATCAGGGTCTCACTAAGTTGCTGAATTGTCCAGGCTGGTCTCACCCTTGCAAACTTCCCACCTGGGATGACAGGTGTGTGCCACCAACCTGGCTTTTGTTGTTGCTTCTGAAATAGGATCTCGTTGTATACACCAGGCTAGCCTTGAACTCGTGGCAATCTTCCTGCCTCAGAATCCCAAGTGTTTGGGTCATCGGTGAGTGGAACATCACACCCAGCATTTTGTACTTCAGTGCTGGGGATAGAACCCAGAACCTCACACAGGTTAGACAAGTGCTCTACATCGAGCTGTACCCCAGCCCCTCACTGCACGTTTCACAGAGGCCTCGGAGCAGCTCCTCCCCAGGCTCATTCCTGTCCCTCCTCCCCAAGGTTACTGCTGCCTTGATTTTGCTGTTCCTTTCTCCTACACTTATTTTAACCCTGTTGCATATGTGTGTCCCCAAACAACAGATACAGGCTGAGGATCCCTAATCCAAAATCCTGAATCTGAAATACTCCCAAAATGCAAAACATGGACCATTGACAGGATATCACCAGAGGAAAATTCTACACCTGACCTTATAGGACAGTTTGCAGCCAGACTGCAGCTACACTACAAAGATTGCCTTAAGGTACCTTCAGGCTATGTGCAGAAGGTGTATATGAAACACAGATGAATTCCATGTTTAAACTTGAGAACCCCATCTCCAAGATGAAATCCAAGCCAGGCCCTTGTGGTAGCCAGCACTCAGGAGCCTGGGCAAGAGGATGATGAGTTTGAGGCCAACCTGGGCAATCTAGTGAGATAGTCTTAGAACAACTGAAATCCAAGAGTGCATTTGCAAGCATTTCAGAGAAGGGAGGAAGCACTCAGCCAGTATGCTTGTAGCCGTGGGGCTCGCTCTGCAGCCCACTCCTCACTCTGGATGTCAGCCTTCCGTGACCAGCCTGACTCCTGCTCCCTGTTGCTGATCACCCACCTCATGCCACATCCCCACTCAGGGGCCCACTCTCCCCAATGGGCACCTGCCTCCAGCGGTGGCCATCACAGCACTGCCCTGGCCTGCCTGCCCACCTCCTCAGCTGGAGCTAGCACTGGTACAGGCTGAGCCAGTAGGTGTGGACCAGGCACACTGGTTGCTTAACTAGATGTGGCTCGATGGCTCTCAAGGTGATTGTAGCTACATCCTTGTTGGCAAACTGTCCTTTGTCCTTCAGCCCAGGTACAGAGTTGCCTTTGCCTCTTTCTCCTTCTCCCCTAAAAAAGGATGTGACTCCACCTGTTTATGTCTGGCAAGTCCAAGCCCCTCCCAAACCCCCACCTGTTTTCTCCATCTGGGTCTCTGATGCACTTCCCCACCCTGGACAGCCAACTCTTGGCACAAAAACCAGAACAAGGAGACCATGAACAGCAAATTGGTAAGTCCAGAAACCGCTACCCTGACTGCAGATTCCCCTGTGCAGCTGTGTGCAGTGGGCAGTCTGACCATCCTCTCTGAGCCATTGCTTCTCATGTGAGCTGTATCTCTACCCATCACTGACATCAGCAGAGTCAGGTGATTTAGTAAGAGTGTGTACAAATGCATCCAGTGCAGACAGGGGATAGTCTCATTACCTTTGGAGTCCACAGAGAATTGTCAGCTTTGGTCTTAGTGAAAGAAATTCCGAGACAAGCTAGTTGCAGACAAGCTGTCCTTTATTGACCCATGGAACCAGGAAGCCAGGGGGCGGAGGTCAAGGCCTTGTTCGTGGGTGGTGGAACCAGGGGTTCTGGTCACACTGTCCAGAAGCTGGCCTTGCCTAGCTCTGGGTCACTCTCTCCATCCTAATGGCTCCATTCTCAAGTGGCTCTCCGAGAGGTGGCTCCGAGGACAGGATGATCCCTTCTAGCAGAGTGACAGTTATAGACAAAAGGGCTTCTCCTTTTCAGCACTTCCTGCCTAAATCAACAGGCTGCAGAGCTCACAGCCCTGGCTGGTCAGGTGCACGTGTCTAAGTGGCTAGGCCATGGCAGGGCCACGAGCCAAGTCCACATGTGGCTGCAGCCTCAGCTTCTGAGGTATAGGGCAGGTTCAACCATCACCAGATCCACATGCAGGGAGGCTGGGTGCCATGACCCAAGAGGCCCCTAAGGTTCTTGGGATGAAGAACCATCCTGGGAAAACTGAGAGAGCCCCAAAGGCAAGGAAAGGGATCCTGGCCAGGTTGGAACAGGAACCACCATCCCTGGCCACTCATGGTGCAGCCCTCAGGGTATGGGTGGGGTGTGGGAGCCTCGTACAAGCTCCCTCAAGATGCAGGCCTGGCTCAGCCTGGCCATCCATGCACCTGCATCTGGAATCTACTGCTCTGTACCCATGCATTTCCAGTGGCTTAGAACTTCTCTCTTTTTTTTTTTTTTTTGGATACAGATCTTCAGATCAAGAGCTCTGCAGATCACACTGGGCTTTATTTCTTTCTAAAGAAGAGGGCTGGGGCTGGGGAGCCTCATTCTGGACCCAACCTGGACAATAAAGAGACTTTCTGGCATCGGCCTCCACGGTAATTGGGACCACAGGCACTCCTGTGTTCTGTTTCACTAAGAATTACAAAAGGCAAGAGCTAAGAGAGCCTTCTGAGGTCCTCAAGGCCAGCTCCTTCCTCTGAGACCTGAACAAGGGCCAGCTCGGAGGGTCCTGCTGTCACTGCCCACTTGCCACACAGGGACCCCCACACCCTATTCAGCCCTCTTCCCAGGAACGGCTGTGCTTCTACGGGCTGCATCATGGGAGCCATGTCCTGAGCCCCAGGGCCTCACTCAGGAGGTGGCAGCATCCTAGTCACTGTCCATCGTCACTCAGCACGCACGCACGCACGTGCGCACACACACACACACACACACACACACACACACACACACACACACGGCCTGCAGGCCCAACTCAAGGCCCCAAAGCCAAGAGCTCTGCAGACCACAGCGGCCTTTATTCCATTCTGAAGAGGAGAGCCAGGACCAGGTAGGTTCATTCTCAGGTTGTGTCAGAAGGTGCAGAGTGTTGGGGACACAGACTGGACCCCAAAGTGACAATAAGTTAGGGGGGATTCTCAGGCTGCTATCAGGATACAGCCAGGGCAGGACACCAATTGGGCCCCCGGGGCTTTTTTCAGCTGCCCAGTTCAATTTCCAGCCAGGCTGGTTCCAGGACAGCTCGGCCATGGCTGAAACACAACAGGGAGAAGGATGAGAGGTTGGCAGGGAATAGTGGGGACCCAGAGCCAGGAAGATAGGACTCGTGCCTCGAGGGTGGCCCAGGAAGAGGTCTTCGAGGAAAGCCACTTACCGGGACCTCAGCTAAGTTCCTGTACGTTCTCATAATCTGGAGCTTCCTCATCTTCCTCATCCTCCACCTCCTGGGAGCTCAGGGTGGCTGCAAGGGAGCAGACATTGGTGGCAACCTGCAGGCTGCTGCACAGGCAGGTCCCCCAGCCTCGTCCCCCCACCTATACACACCAGGCTCAGTGCCCGGCAAGGGCTGCAGCTCCTGGGACACATTCACATACTCCAGGCTCCCATCTGGGGAAACAGTCAGGGGAGACATGGCCATGCCACAGCACAGCCACACAGAGGGCGAGCGGGCAGGAGGAAGAGCCCTGGGAGCCCCCAGCCACTTACCCAGAGATGCTTCTGCGCTCTCCTCGCTCTCAGGGACATTCACGTAATCTCTGGACTCCACTGTAGGAAAGCCACTGGGGCTCAGCCCAGTCCAGCACTGTCCCCAGAGACCCTCTGCCACTGATTCCCAGGGTTACCCCAACTCAGATGTCCAGGGCCCCAAGGGAAGACACTCTGAGACTCTCAACAGTCGAAGCAGACACAACAGCCTGAGCAAACGATAACAGCAGCTGGACGAGGACAAGAGCCATAGAGGTGGACTGAACAGGTGTCCTAGATGGACAATGTTAGGGGGAACAGAACACGGCAGCCGGCATGGCTCTAGGTTGGCAGCTCGGTGGGGAGGAGTTTGGCGTCATATTCGGAGGAGAAACTACACTCAGCCCAGCCGACTGCTGCTTCCCCAGCAAGACTGCCTGCTACCCTGACAGGGCCACCATTGCCCACACACTCCTTAGTCTCTCTGTGGCACTCAGCACACCCAAAACCATTTGGCTCTTTTTTTTTGTTTAATTTGGGGGGGGCTTTTTGTTTATCAGTACAGGGGATCGAACTCACGACCACACACTTGCAAGGCAGGCGCTTATGCCACTGAGCTAAATCCCCAGCCCCCATTTGGCTCTTTTACGTGTTACCTTGTTTCCCGATGAAGACATGGATAAGGTGGACTCTGGAGCCAGACAACACAAGTTCAAATCCTGGCCCTAGCACTAAGAGACTGTGTAACCTCAGACATGCTGCTAACCTCTCTGTGCCTGTTTGTTCATCTGTAAAACGGTTACAAACAGGACCCACTTCGCACTCCGTCCTGGGCTGGGTTGTGTGGTGGCGTGCCTGTAGTCTCAGCTACTTGAGGGGCTGAGGTGAGAGGATTGTTTGCACCCAGTGGTTCACGGGCAATATAGGCAACATAGCAAGACTTTCCCAAGAAAAAGATATAAAAATAACACATAAACAAATCCTGCCATACTACCAGGGCACAACTGAGGGGCAGGAGGAGCCGAAGTAGGCACCAGAGCACCTGGAATGGGGATATTTAGTAAACTAAGCACATAAAGCTCCTAGCAGAGATAGCAGGCCTCAGGAATGGCAGTCTTTTACTGTGACTGTCTGCCTCACTATTATCCCTAGCATAAGCCCAGCAGACACAGGCAGTCAATGCCGAATGAATGAATGCACCTGGCCAGACAGTCTAGCGCTCAGGAAAGAGGCGGCAGTTTGGAAATACGGGTGGCAGATGGAGCCGGGGTGCGGAAGTGAAAGCTCGAGGCACATACAGACAGGTCGAGCACCTCTCACCCAAAAATCCAAAATCCAAAATGCTCTAAAACTCCAATCTTGCATCAACATACTGTTGTAAACGGAAAATTCTACACTCCAAAATGAGTTTCATGCACAAAATTATTTAAAATATTCTATTAAATCATGTCTGGACTATGTATGTAATGTTTATGTGAAGCACAAATGAATTTTGTGTTTAGACTTGAGTCCTATCCATAAGATACTTCATTACGGGTTTACAAAATTTGAAACACTTCAGCTACCTCAAATAAGGGATATTCAATGTCTGGAAAGAGAAAAAGTAACAGAAACCTGAAGATCAGATACTGAGCAATGCCCAGGAGATGAAATCAGGAGGATGAGACAAGCCAAAGACAGAAAAGCAACTCAGAGCAACCTAAGACCATGCAGGAAGAGAAGAAATTTTCAGGGAAAAAATAAAACTCTAGTTATATCCTTAGACATTGACAAAATGAGCTCACTTCCACGAAACAAGGCCAAAAGGCTATATAAAAAGAACACTTTTTGTGTGGTGTGGTGGTGCCCGCCTGTAATCCCAGCACTCAGGAGGCTGAGGCAGGAGGATCACTGTGACTTTGAAGCCAGCCTAGACTACACAGTGAGTTCAAAGCCAGCCTGAACTGCATAGTGAGACCCTGTCTTAACACACAAGAACAACAAAACAAAAAAGAACATTTACAGACCAAAACCTACACAACAAAGAGCTTCTGGGTAGGAGAAAGAAAATCTCAATAGAAAGGTTAAAAACTAAGAAATCAAAGAAATCTCCCAGATCACAGACAAGAAGGAAGACAGAGAGGAAATGGGGGAGAAAAATGTGAAAAATCAGATCAGAGCAGGAAGGAAGAACATCTGAAGGAGGAAATGGAAGGGGTACAAAACGAAGTAAGAGGGAAGAGAGCAGAGGCTGATGGCACGTGGCGGGCAGCAGTGGACAGAAGAAGCCGACTCACTGGAGAAGGCACTGTCTCGGAGGCCAGGGTTGCTGGGTACAGGAGCCGAAGGGACCCCAGTGCTGGTGGCTGGGGTGCTGTCGGGAAGCACCTCCCTGGAGGGAAGGAGCAAGAGGGTGAGCGAGAATGCTGGGCCCAGTCCCTGCCTCCCACCTGGCCACTCACACATAGCCGCCGTAGCCCTCGTTGGGGTAGTCTTCCTCATCCTCATCTTTATCCGCGTCCTCACAGGCTACCTCTGGGAATCGAGACACAGGGGTTTCAGCCTGGCCAGGGGCAGACCGGGCTCCCGGCCTGGCCTGGTACAGCATTCCAGACACACCTTGGTTCTCATAGCTCGCCACACTGTTGGCTTCAGAGAGAAAGGGGGAGACTGAGTCAGCTCAGGTTGCACTGGGCTTTTGCCCAGCCCCGGTCCCAGCCCTTGGAGCCCATCTCTGCCCTTACCACCATCTGAGTCCTGCTGGGAAGAGGGCATCCGGTGGGAACCCAGGAGAAGCTGTGGCGATCGTCTGTGGGGGCTCAAAGGTCAAGGATCATGTCTAGGGGCAAGAGGAGTAGCAACAGGGGAAGCAGCCCCCAACCCAAGAAAGCGAGGGAGCCGGGGGTAGAATGGAGGGAGCGGGCTGGACTGAGCGGTACTCACGGGATGTGGAGCAGGTCTGGCTGGCTCAGGTGTGGGTCGGGAGCAGATGGGTAAGGTGACCAGGAGGGCAGCATTTCTGAGGATAGAGCCAAGCTTGAAGGAGTAACTTCAGACATCAAAGCTGCAAAGGTCACACTCATCCCTTGCAATCCATGCCCTTGCCAGACCTGGGGCTCCTACCGTCCCCATATCCCAGCTCAGGTCCAGGACATGTGGGTAGTCCCAAGGGGTGGGACGCTCACACACCAAGAGGACCACTCCCCCACATGCAGGGCAGGAGACCCTCTGTGTACTCACGAGTCGGCTTGAACAGGAAGCTCTCTGTTTGTGAACTGGCAGGGGAGACACAGCTTGGGTATGGGGCTGAGAGGGGACCCCACCCCGCCCTGCCTTCGGGACAGTGGGAGACCCATGGGGTAGGACAGACTCACCGATTTTCGCTAGCACTGCCATAGGAGCCTGGGGAAGAGAGACAGTCAATGAGGCCGGAACATGGGTACACAGAGGAGAGTGCTAAGAGCTCGGGGGTCCTGGAGTAGGGACAGCATTAAAGGGAGACCAAGTAGTTGGGAGGTGGAAAGGATCCCTGTCTGTGCACAAAGAAGCTGACTGCTCCGACTCACCTCGAAGCTCGCGGCAGCGCACACAAAGGACCATCAGCAACATGGCGATGAGGGGCAGCAGCAGGAGGCCCAGGGGCTCTGAGAGGACCACACTGTTCTCCTCCATCTGCAGGAGAGCCCAGGGCAGGCCCCTTCAACAGAGAAGCAGCAGGCGCGTGGGGGCCACAGCTGCGCCCTCTAGGAAGCTCCTGGATCTCAGCCCAGCCACGGGGGTCGGGGCTGGTTCGGGGAGACCTGATCCAGGGTGGCGAGGCCAGGGCTGGGCTGGGAGCTGCAGCACCAATCACCCGCCGTGCAGCCTTCACCCCAGCTATCCTCTGCAAGGTTCCTGCGCCAAGCGTCCCTACCCCTTGCTCCTGCCCGCCTCCCCTCTGCCTGCCTCCCCTCTGCCTGCCTCCTCTCTGTGGCAGGAAGCTGTGGTGAGCGCAGGAAATCATCAGGCTCCTCAGCCAGCTGCACCGCCCCCTGCCCACCCCTACCACCTTGGGAAGTGGGGAGGCCCAAGAGGTGACCCAGACTCCTCAGAAGGCTCTGGACTGCAGATCAAAGTGACTTGGTAGGGGGTCCCTCCAAGGGACTGAGTGGAGCCAGTGACAGCACACAGGCAGACGCCCACTACACAGGCCTCACCCAGGCCCTGCCTCTCTCCGTGAGCATGGACACGGGCATGACTCACTGTCACACTGAGTCAGCTCACTCGGAGGAAAGCAGTCCTACCTCTGATCACCCAAACAGAAGACAAGGACCACCCCCAGTCCCCAGGGCGCAAAACCATGGACCAGTCCCTATAGCCCAGCCAGTAGAGGTCACTAACACCCAGAGAAAGACTCAAGCAGACACTTGGGGTCTGGCTACAAATTTTATTGTTACAAATAGCACCGAGCCTGCGGGACTGCCCCAGTGTAGGGAAACCCCGCCCAGGCCCCCATCACTCCCCTGGGCTATCCACGTAGTGTCTGGAACCAGGACACAGCCCAGGGCTATCTCCTGGAAACTGGGCTGGGCTGGGCCAAGGGTTTCAGCCTCAGGCACCTCATGGGTGGGCCCAGGGCCAGCTGCAGCAGATGTATGGATAGGTGAGTGATGCCTCAGATGAGCACACTGGACACAGGGACCCGAGTGGAGCGGCCTCGCTGGGGCACCACAATCCGGTCATCTGTGGGCCCTGTCTCAGGCAACAGACCTGTGGGAGGTAGGGTCAGAGCCAGGCCAGAGAGACAGACAGACAGACACACACACACACACACACACAGAGCAGACAAGCAGGCAACAGGACACAGGTGGGATGGCAACAAGGGCCATCAGAATCATGGACACAGATGAACACCAGCTTGTAGGACAATCAGATCAGAAGCCAAAAAAGGGGTGAGCTATGGACTGAGAAATGCCCAGGACCTGAGCTGTGCAGCTGGATGGAAAGACAGAGAAACAGGCAGTGTGGGGGACAAAGAGCAACTGACCCTGCACATGGAGCTGGGCCCGCCGGCGATCACCCTCAATGAAGATGGCGGTGCCCAGGAAGGCAGCACCACCCAGCGCCCCAATGAACGCACAGAGCATGAGTGAGAACTGCAGGGCCCGGAACTCCGACAGGAAGGATGGGGGCCACCTCCGGCGGAGGCGATCGGAGATCTGTGGGAGCATGGAGCCAAGAGTTAGAGACCTGAGCGGAGCCAGGGTGAGCCCCCAACCCAAGAAAAGGAAAATGGAGCCTGGGAAAGGGAAGGGGGTTCAGAGCACTACGGTGAGGCCATAGGCCTCATGGGGAGAAACCTGTAGACAAAATCCCCTGGGACCAGTGGAAGGTGAGAGGCCCATGCCCAGGTCAGCACCAGGAGTACTGGGGGCCCCATGCACCCCACCCCGTCCCAGCAGGGGGCAGTGCTCACCAGGCCGATGAGGTAGGGGCTCCCAGCGTCACCCAGCAGGTGAGATAGTACAATCTGGAAGGCCTCAGCAGTGGAACGTCGAGTGGGGATGACGACATACTGCAGAGGGGAGGGGAGCTCAGTATGGGGGCTCCCCATGGGACTAGAAGACACAGGGCCAGGACAACAGGCCCCTCAGGGCTGGACTCTGCAGCCAGGCTGAACACCACTATTCAGAGCAAGCAATGCCTCCTGCCCCCAATCCCAGCTCTCATCAGGCTGGGCGCCAATTGTGGAGCTGTGAGCTACTCACTAGCAAAATGTCAGCCACGATGGCCCAGTTCATGGACAGCAAGGTCTCTCCAATAAAGATGAAAATCTAAGGGGGTGGGAGAAAGAAGAGGTATGCCAATCAGAGCAAACACACAAATGGTTTACCATATAACACACTCATCCACTACCTCAAGCAATCCTCTCCACAACAATACAAGATGGGGATTACCATCATTCCCATTTTAGATGATAAAACCAGGCTGAGAGATGCTAAACTGCTTGCCAGGGTCACATGGCTGGAAAGGGCCAGAATCGTGATCTAAAACCAGGCATGCTACCTCAAACCACTAGGAGACCCCAGTTCTACCCCAGTGCAAGGTTCCCCTACCCTGAACCCAGAACACCCCCTCGCACCCTGCTGACTACTCACATAGGTGGCCACGATGCTACCACGGGCGCAGACCAGGGCCAGGAAGAGGAAAGGAGCAGAGCCCAGAAGGCCAGCAGCACAAACCAGAGGGTCTCCCCGAGGGTTGGAGTGGCGTAGGCGGCGGCTGATCTCCACACCCAGACCCACACCCAAGACCCCGGTCAGGCATGTGATGATCCCGAAAATGAGACTAGGGCCAGGGTAGAGACATAGAGCTACAACCTCTGCCTCTAAGACCCCTGCCCAGCATGAAAGCTGGTCTGTCCGACCACCCTTAGCCCCAAGTCTATCCAGACACAGGACCTCTGATCCCCACGTCATCCCTCCAAAGATTCCCCCAGAAACTGAGGCTCTGAAAGAGAAGCAGCTCATGGGGGGTCAGGATTCAAACTGTCCTTGCCCAAGTCTGAGTCACACACTCTTCACCCTGCCACCCGCAGGCCACCCAGCCCAGCCCCACCCGGGTACCTGTCTGAAGAAGAGCAGGATTCTCCAGGAAGGCAGGGTGGGGTCTCCCCCAGGACCACACGGGAGCGCAGCAGGAATGCGGGAGCCCAGAGGGCCAGCGAGCCCGTGACAAAGGCCACAGCAGTGAAGCCGAGGGAAGACAGGATGAAACTACGACTACAGACAGTTGGGAGAGAAGAAGTCAGACCCCACAGAGGTGTGGAGGGAGAAGGGACTTTTCTTTTCCCTTCCTGGCTTATTTTGCAAAAAAACTGGGTGCAGAAGCTGCCAAGGTTGATCCTAGGATTTGCAGCTGCCACGAGGGAACAGTAGTGGCCAAATGCTGGCTTTGGATTTGACAGGCAGGGAATAGAGCCAGCAAACACTGCACTCACTCAAACTGCCAGCACACAACAGAGCCTCGGATGGAGCAGAAAGGGATTCGACTCACTTTCTTGCCAGAGCCCTCAGATCTGCCCACCACGAGGTGGGGTTCAGGGGCGGTGAATCTGAGTAGCGCTCCACAGCTCCCCTGGGTGGCTCCCGTACTACCAGGAACAGCAGCAGAACAGCTACTACCCCCAGGCCTGGTGTCACCTGCGGAAGACACTGGCTTCAGGACAGGCAGAGACAAGGACACACTCAAGCCCTGGGGTTGCGGGAGACAGAGTGAACATTAAGTCCAGCCCTCCTCACATGCAGGCTCACACCCTGCTCAGGAACTACACCTGTGGTCTGGGAAGGTCGTCTCTTTGTTTTCACAAGCCTAACTTTGCTTCTCTTTGACAACAGAAGCCTAATTTCTTTTTTGGGAAAGCACTTCCTCCATTTCTGTCAATCCATATGGACCGAACAGCAACTCAGAGCTGGACAACAACAGGACTGTTAACTGTCCGGGCCCTGGCACCTGGCTTCACGGAGGGCCTGTGACCCACACTGGTCTCATCAGTTGCCATCCCACGACCATTGCTCAAGGACTCAAACTGTTGGAGCTACTCCATTTGAAGATCTTAATTTGGAGCTCATACACTTGAAAAATGAAGTCAACTCAGAAGAAAGGAAAGCTGATAAGAGAACTATCAAATCCCAGTGGACACCCTGGCGTGGCTCTGCCTGAAGATCACCCTGGGACTTCCCACTAGGAAAGCCACTACAGTCCCTTCTGGGGGTCACAGGTACAGTGTGCTCCCAACACCTGCAACAAGGCTCTGCCTGGGACAAGGCTTCCTGCAGGCCTGGCACAGTCAGCACTGCCACAAAAAGGAGGCAACCAGAAGTCAGAAAAGGGATCACATAGTATCACTGACCTTTCCCTGGTCTGTGACCAGACTTACCCGCAGAGCCCAGTGCCAGTCCCCAGCAACATCCTTCACTTTGGACCCTGCAATATAGCCCAGACCGCTGCCAGGAAGAGGAGGGACAGAGGGAACAGAAAATCAATCTGTCAAACCCTCCACCCAGGCCCTCTCTGCCTCCCCCAGGCCTTAGGCCAGCTCACCTCCCCACTGGGATGGCAAAGTAGAACACGCTGAGCATTCGACTGCGCTGGTCAGCGACGAAGAGGTCGGCGATGAGGGTGGGCGCAATGGTGGAATAACTGGCCTCCCCGACCCCCACTAGCCCCCGGGTCAGGAGGAGCAGCCAGAAACGCTGGGGAAGGAGACACAGGGGAGATGGCACCCCCACCTTGGAGCCATCTGCCCAGGCGACCTCTCCAGTCAGTGCCAGAGTCAACAGGGACAGCAGGAGAGGCCTGGGTTTAGAATCAGTCAGACCTGCTGGCATCCTGTCTCCACTATTTACTAGCTGTGACTTTGAGAAAGTAACTTAACCTCTCTGAGCCTCAGTTTCCTCATCTGCAAAAGGGGAATAACAAGTTGTTCACATAGCTGTTGTGAGGACTTCACAGTACAAAGTCCCCAGCAAAAACAAAATAAATTATTGGGCTGGGGATTTAGCTCAGCCTAAGGGTCTGCCTGCAAGTGTGAGGTTACCAGTTTGGTCCCCGGTACCACCAAACAAACAAAAACTGTAAACTCAGGGCTTTCGGGTGAGCTACATTTCCAAAATAAATCTTAGTTCCTACCTTGCCCTTCCCACCCAAGACACCCCAGTGGTGAAAAAAGAACTCGAGCAGGGGAGTATCTGTCTACTGAAGACACCTGGAAGCACACATAGGGCCTCAGCCTGAGGACAAAGCCAGGGTAGAGGGAGCACAGAGGGAGGAAGTTCTAAAGGAGCAAAGAAGCCACAGCCAGGGAAGCACAGGGAAAGCAAAGAGTGAAGCAGCAGAAGAGGGTTTCAGGGAGAAAGAAGGGCTTGAGAGCCCCTGAGAGCTCCAGCAAGAACAGCACTAGGAAGATGGAGCAGCCCTGAGCACGCAGGAGGTCACCATTGCCTGTGGCAATGGCAGGCGCGCTGAACTGGTGGGGCGAAGTCAGCGGGTTGCTCTCAAGTGGAGCGCTGGAGGGGTGACAGGCAGGAGCAAGCAGCTCCCCGGCCGCTCCACCCTCGCTGGTGCTGGGCTGCTGGAGGGACCTTTCAAGGAAAGGAAAAGGGAGACGGCGATCCAGGTGGAACTTTTTCCATGGCAGAGACATTGTGAGTATTTAGGGATGGAGCAGTCAGTGATCAGGGGAAGAGAGATGATGAACAGTAAGAAGGTTCTGGAAAAAAGAGAAGAGGGGGCGAGCAGATTCACTCAGGCAAGGAAAGGGTATAAAATGGCATGAATCCAGGAAACTGCAGAAGCTCCGGGAGGCCAGTCTGAAAGGACTCCAAGGAGCAGCAGCAAAGATTGCTGGGGAGTGGGGAGTGGCCAGCAGCAGGAGCCAGCGTGGGTCCTCACCTCTCTGGGGATGAAGGATGACCCCAGCGTCACCAGGGACCAGAAGGCAATGCCCCCGCACATGAGATACTTCCGATTGTACCTGTCACCCAGGTAGCCAAACACAGGTGCCAACACCATGTAACTGGAGATGAACACTGAGGGGAAGCAGAGAGTCAGCCCAGGCAAGTCCCCAGCCTCCCACTTCCACCAGCTGGGGTGCAGGCTGCCGGAACAACGCGGGGGCACAAGATGATCCCCCGACATCCCGGTTCCTCTGCTTCCTCAGGCTTAGCTCTGGCTGCAGCTCGGATACCTTCCCCAACCTCCACACAGCCCGACCTCCACACAGCCCATCCCATCTACTGCACTTACTGTTTTCCTTTGCACGGTATTTATCCTGTGGAAAGTTACTTCATTTTACTGAGGGTTTACCAGCCCCCTCCTGCACAGAGCGCCCTGAAGGCAAGGACCTTGCCTGTTCTGACTATGACCATGAGTCTCTCACTTAACACATAGCCAGCACATAAGATGTATTCAATCAACACATGCGAAGTGAAAAGGGGACTAAATGGAGCCATCTAGAAAGTTCTGCTACTTCTCCAACATAACTCTTCAGAGGTTTGCAACCTTGACCTATGATCCCATTTTCATCTCTCCAGACTTACCACCAGTTCCTCATTCGCCTCAAGTTGGCAAAGCACACCTCAAGAACTGGTTTCAAAATCCTGTTTTGCCACTAACATAATGTTGTGTGGCCCTGGACAAACCCAAACTCTTCTCCAAGCCTCAGTTTCTTTGTAAAATGTAGATAACACTACCCGCTTCCTCTATAAAGCAGGGAGAGTAACACCTATTCCTCAGTCAATGGGAGGATTTAAACTTGGGGAAGGAGGCAGTTCAGAAGTTCAGTATTAGGCTGGTTGTGTAGTGGCCCATGTATTAGGCTGGTTGTGTAGTGGCCCATGTCTGTATTTAGAAGGACAGCATTTAGAAGGACAGCTGTCAGTTCAAGGCCATCATGAACTAGACTGAGACCCTGTCTCAGAAACTAACAAACAGAAGTACAGCACCTGCCTAATATGTGTGAGGTTCTGGGTTCGATCTCCAGCACCACATATACACACACAAAAAAATGAAGAATAACATCTCGCCAAACACATCATCACCACTCCCTCCAGGGCCTGGCACACAGCAGGCACTCAGAAACATTTGAGAAATGAAGAAGGAAAGGAAAAAATAGAAGAATTTGGTTCTGGTTTTGCCTCTCTCAGAGACCCAAAGTTCCAAACCAGTAAAACTCAGCTTCCCCCATTTCAAACACTCTCTCCTTGCCATGTGGAACACTGCACTGGGCACTCCACAGCATGATCACTTATCCTCAGAAATGACTGTTAGGACTAGCCCCTGTCACAGACAAAGAAAACAAGGCTTAGAGAAACTAAGTGCTGTGCCTACCATCACACAGTAAGGGGAAGCACTAAGATTTAAAGCCCAGTCTGAGCCAGGCGTTGTGGTGCACGCCTATAATCCTAGGCAGGGTGAGGCAGGAGGATCACTGGGACTGAAGGCAGCCTGAACTTCATAGTGAAACCCTGTCTCGAAAAGACAAAAAAATACAAAAATAAAGCCGGGTCTGTCTAAACCACTTACTAAACCAACTATCTGGTTTGGTTTGCTTCGCTTTGTTGTGACAGGGTCTCGCTATGTAGTCTAGGCTGCCTTCCAACTCTCTCAACCCCCCTTACCTCAATCTTCCCAGAGCTGGGATTACAGCCATGCTCCCCTCTTAAGTATGCTGTCCTAGCTGAACTAGCCAGTCCCAGAACAAAGTCAAGGCCATTAGGTCCCCTAAGAATATGGCCCAAAGGGAGGCAGAAAAGCAGTAAAAGCTGCAGTGTGACCACCAGGAGCCTCCACTCACCGGTCTGGATGAGGCCGGAGCTACTGTCTCCGATGCTGAAAAAGTGCTCGATGTCTGGTAGGACGCCTGGCAACGGAACACTCCAGGTGAGCCCGCGAGGCTACCCCATCCCAGGACGCTGGTTCCTTCGTACCCCTCTACGGCTAGCACCTACCGGCCACGGTGAAGCGGTCCATGTAGTTCAGGAGGTTGATGTAGCACAGCACACCTACGATGAGAGCCGACCGGGCCGGCGACAAGCCGGTGATGCGCTGCAGCCCCTCCTGATCTGGCACCTCGGGCTCTCCGGACTTTGGGTTTCCCAAGGACCCAGGCAAGCCCAAGGTGCCAGGCACTGGCCCATCATCTGGGTCATCTGCCTGGCTGAGGAAGGGCGCGGTGTCAGACCCGGCCATAGTCCCGGGGAGCCGCACCGGCCCGCGCTCCGGTCTCACCAACGATCCCACCTGCGAAGTAAAGGAGCTGGAGAAGAAAGACTAGCGGGATTCCCGGAGAGGGACAAGTCCCCACAGTTAGGTAGGACCTCCCTTCTGTGCGGAGCTCGGCTGAAAAGAGACCGGGCCGGGCATTCCCTCCCACACACCGAGCGCAGGGGACTGTGGGATCCAGGTGACACCGATGAGATGGAGGGGGCCGCGCCCCCTCCCACGGTGAGACCCTCACTCCTCGCAGGAGCGCGCTCCCTGTCTCTCAGCGCCGGAGCTGCACCCTGGCGGCTGCCATGTTGCTGAAAAGCGGGTCATGTGACACTGGAGCCGGGTGAAGCAGTCGCTGAGTGCAAACCCGTGGCACGTGACCCGCAGCCGCAGCAACCAGAAGCCTCGAGGCGCCCTCCCTGGGTAAAGTGTCACGTGACTGTCAGCCGGTCGCCGGGGTAACCCAGGGAGCTGCTGTCAGATCACGCGCTACGGCAAGCCGGCTGCTCATTCCCTTCCAGCCGCGACTCTTCGGGAGTCCCCGTGACTTAGCGAATCTCAGTGGCCTTATCCAGGACAACCAACTAGCGGACGTCTTGTGGATTAAACAAAATACTGGAGTCTCAAAAGGTTTTCGGAACTTACAAATGTCTCTAGAGATGTTATGACCAGTTCTCTCTTGTGCTGGTCACTCGCAGCGTCAGAACAGCTCCGTGCATGCGTAGTAGAGTTGGAATGAGTGGAGGGTGAACGGCTGCCCCTTCTCAGGTTCCTCCACCCTGAGCGTCCACTTTGGGTGCTTAAATTCCCACTGAAAGTAGCGTCCTAACCCGCTTTCCCCGCTTCCCTCCGAGACCGGAACCTTGCGCCCTCTCGTGGTCTTTTGTGAAGCTGGTGGAACTCTGAGCCTTGGGAGACGACCTGCAGATCCGGGGCCAAAGGCTGGCTCAGGGTGGTCCTTTAGGGAACGCTCGCAATATCCAAAATGCACCGAATGAACACGCACTCTATGTAAAACTGTCACCATTCTGTGCAAATGCAGCTTCAAAAAAATCCTCTTCCAACCACACTTCAAAAGCAATTCTGGGGCAAGACATTCAGGACGCCTCCAGTCTCTCCAGAGCTCTTCCTAGTCCCCATTCCTTTCCTTCAATAAATTTTCCTACTCTTAGGGGGAAAAAAAGTAATTCTGGAGTCCCTGAGATGCCTTATTAGAATCTATTCTGAGTCCTTAATACCCCTCAATGACATTGCCCCAGGAAATATTTCGTGTTTTGGAAACCTAAGCCTAGTCTCCCCTGGTAGACAAATTTTAGACTGTAGTCATTTAATGCCCCAATAAAAATGTTATTGGGCAGCTTGCTACATGTGCCTGGCACCTCCCAGGTGTCAGGCAAAAGCAGATTTAGTCCCTTCCTTCACAGAGTTTATCAGACGGAGGCAGATTCCTGTGACACTGCACCTGTGGAGTGAAACAGTAAGCACAGCATGTATCTGCCAGATGCCTTGTATCAGGTATACCTGTGTAGGCTCTTCAAACTCGACCGGCCAATAACAATTTTTTAAATAGGCAAAAGATGTGAACAGACATTTCCCAAAGGAAGATACATAGATGGTGAACAAGTACACAATATCATTGGTCATTATGGAAAGATAATTTAAAATCACAATTGACCACCAAGTGTGGTGGTCTGTAATTTCAGCATTCAGGAGGCTGAGGCAGAAACAGTGCCCTAAATTTGAGGCCTACTTGGGCTACATAGTGAGTTCAAGGCCAGCCTGAACTACAAAGCAAAACCCTATCTCAAAAAATAAAACCCACATTGAGGTATCACTATATTAGGATAGTAAAAAACAAAACAAAACTGGCAATACCAAATAACTGGAATTTGCAGCCACTGGAGAAAGGATAGTGTTAAGTGTGGGAGAAAATGGTACATCTATTCTGGAAAACAATTTACAGTTTACTTAAAATTAAATATATGCCTTCCACATGATTCAAAAGTTTCAATCCTACTATCCACCAATAAGAAATGAAAACTGTCTCAACAAAAATTTGTACATGAGGGGCTGGGGATTTAGCTCAGCAGCATGAGCGCCTGCCTTGCAAGCAGGCAGTTGTGAGCTCGATACCCGGTACCAATGAAAAAGACAAAAAAAAAAAATTTGTACATGAATGTTCATAGAAGCATTATACAAACTGGGTGTGAAGGCACATGCCTATAATCCCAGCGCTCTGAAGACTGAGACAAGAGGATTAAAATTTAAGCATGCCTCAGGCAATTTAGTGATTTAGCAAGACTGTCTCAAAAACAAAACCAGGGGCTGGGGATTTAACTCAGCGGCATAAGCACCTGCCTTGTAAGCAGGCAGTCGAGAGAGTTTGATCCCTGGTACCGATAAAAAGGAAAAAGACAAAAAAATTTTAAAAAAAACAACCAAAAAACCTGGGAGTGGCCAGGTGTGGTAGTAATTCCACCACTTGGGAGGCTGAAGCAAGATGATCACCACTAATCAGAGGCCAGCCTGGAATACACAGTGAGTTCAAGACCAGCCTGAACAACATAGTATCTCAAAAAACAAACAAACTAAAAAAGATATGGAGATGTAGCTCGATACAAAGCGCCTGGGTTCAATTCTCAGGACCAAGAGAAAAATACAAATATTTTAATGCCAATTCACTTTGCCAAATGGGAAAACAACTTTGGCTCTTCAAGCACTTTTTAATTTTATGGCTCTTTTGATTAAGGTTTCTTTAAGGCTGTATGGGCCTAGTCAGTTTAAACTAACGTCCAGCTTTTGCTATTTGCTTTGGAAATTATGGTTCACAAAATCTAAGTACACATAAAATTTCTTAAACAAAAAGTTCATTGATGACAAGTCCCACAAAACAAGTCCAGCATATGGGTATTTGAAAGACCTAGTAACAAGAGGGCTTGAATTTAAGTATGGCAGAGAAAAATACAAGTCTTTTATTCAAGATTTCCCATTACCTGTGGCTAGCCAAAGCCAAACATACAGTACGTACAGTTCAGCAGAAATGATTTATGCAACTTTTATTACCGTAAACTGTTGTAATTGTCCACTTTATCAAATGTATATGTAGGGAAACAGTATACAGCCCCTTTGGAATGCATCATGAATTTGTGTGTCACCCTCGCACAGGCACCATGCTAATCTCTGTATCATTCCAATTTTAGTATATGTGCTGCCAAAGCGAGCATAACAGTCACACTTTGGAACTTGACTGCTTTGAAACTTGTGGAATTTGGTACCTGAAGCATTTTCATGAGAAAACTGTCTCAGTATGTGACCAGCGCAGCCCCCCAATGAGACAGGAGATGCTCTTGTGGGTAACAGGTAACTGCCGCTTTATTGAGGCGGGTTCTGGCTTATATATCTGACTGTGGCCAATCACAAGCTGCCTATCTGACTGTGGCCAATCACAAGCTGCCACGGAGTAAACATCACTAGTTGCTGCGGAGAAGTTTATTTGGAGAGGGACATAATGCATTGCGGAAGCTGACGTGGCTCTTGGTCCTGGGCGGAGTATGTTGAGCGCCTGCGCCCGACAAGTATGCACCACTTGTTTGGTACTCTATGTGCGAGTCAGCAGTGGGTGTCCGTTGCCTCCTGACTGGCATTACCCTTTCCAGACAGAACAATGGGGAGGGGTACCTGGCATTTTTGGTACTTGTCACAAGTTCCAAACATGAAGGATGTCTAGAGATATCACCATACATAGCACTACGTACATGGAGACTGTTGAGGACGCTTCCTGGAACACAGCACCCAGGGACAAGTGAGGGATACTACAACCGCAGCATAGCAAGAGGAAGAACAGCACGTGGAAGAGACAAACACACAGAAAAGCCTTGCTCACAGACAGAAGCAGGATGGACACAGCCTCTGAACAGAAGGGTCAATTTGGAAAGCAGGAGAGAGGAAGCGAGCCAGGTGGGCCAGATTAAAATTCTTTTTCCTTTTCTTCTCTTTTCTTTCCTTCTTTGTCTTTTTGAGACAAGGTTCCCTAGGCAGTTCAGGCTGGTCTTGAACTCATATTGTAGCCCAGGTTGGCCTGGAACTCACAGTAATCCTCTTGCCTCAGCCTCCTGAAGCACTGGGATCACAGTTGTGCACTACCACGTCTAGCGAATTTTTCATTTTAAAATCAGATTGAGCGTGTGGTTCAATGGTAAAGTGTTTGCCTCTTATATGAGGCCCTGTGTTTGATCTCCTAGCACTACAAAAATTTTTCAAAAAATTAGATTTGGCAGTCAAACATGGCAACACATGCCTCCAACTACCCTAGGAGGCTCAACCAGAAAGATTGCTTGAGCCAAGGAGTTTAAGGCCAGCCTGAACAACATAAAACTCATCTCTCTTAAAAAAATATGTTGAGCTGAAGATTTAGCTCAATTGTATAAGCACTTTCCTGGAAAGCACAAGGTCATGAGTTCAATCCCCAGTACAAAAAAAAAAAATGTTTAGTCAGGTGTAATGGCACAAACCTATAATCCCAGCATTCGGGAGGCTGAGGCAGGACTGTTGCAAGTTCGAGACCAGCCTGGGCTACAAAGTAAGCTCAAGGTCAGCCTGAATTGCATAGTGAGACCTAGTCTCAAAAAGACAATAAATAAATAAATTTGCATGATAAAACACACATATAGTCTCACCTGAGAAGGTTGAGGAAGGATCATATAGGAATTTAAAACCCTGTTCTAAAGAACTAAAAAGACAGCTGGATGTGGTGGCACATGCCTAAAATCCCAGCATTTGGGCGGCTAAGGCAGAAGGATCACCATTAGTTCAAGGCTAGAATGCACTACAAAACAAGACCCTGTCTCAAAAAAAAAACGCTTTGCTGGGAGCTTAGTCTGACGGGAACAGCAGGTTGGGTATAAGGAGCTACAGCCTGATTCTAAGCTGAGGTGGAACACACAAAAGCATGTCACCAGTTCCTCGAGGGGCTTTGTGAGCTGGAGAGGGGGGCAGGGTTGGAGATGGACCACTTAATGGTATAAACAAAAAAGGGTCAAAAATCAGGCAAAATGGAATTATGCCTTGGTATTTACTGCTCTTAGCCGTGTTGCACCCCTTGGAGACTGATTAGAAAACAGGGATCTCAGACCCCACTCAGAGCAGCTAGTCTAGCATCTTATTTTAAGAGGATTCCCCAAGACTTGTGTACATTTTGAGGTCTGAGAATCACTGTTCAGGGGGAGTGGTGGCGCTGGATCACCACGAGTTCAAGGCCAGCCTAAATTATACAGCAAGACCCTGTCTCAAAAAAAAGCAACAGAATCACTGGTCTCAAAAATTGTGAGTTGGCCAGGCATAGTGGTACACACCTATAATCCAGCACTCAAGAGGCTGAAACAGGAGGATCACTGTAAGTTCAAGCCCAGCCTGGGCTATATAGTGACATCAAACCCAGCATGAACCAGATAACAAGAGCCTGTCTTGAAAAAGAACAACAAAAATTCCAAGTCCTGTTCAGGCTCACCTGAGTTTACATCTGGCTCTGTGATGGGAGGTTATGTGGTCTGGAGCAGGTTACTTCATCTAAGTGTCTATTTTTCCTCTGTAAAATGGGAACAATAACACCTATTTCATAGGGTTGCTCTGAAGATGAATCGAGATTATGAAAAGAGCCACAGGAAAGGGCAAACTTCTCTGCCACAGAAAAATGCAATTCTTTTACAGTGAAATCTTTCCCACATGCTTCCCAGATGATGCACTAGAGTCAGCAGGAACTTCGAATCCTAATGGTCTTACCACTTGTGTTACCAATCTAACAGAATTCAGGAGAAACTGCAGAGGGATGTGATGGTGCACATTTGTAACCCAATCCCACCACTCTGGGAGGCCAAGGCAGGAGGATCACAAGTTAGAGCCCATCATTTAGTGAAACCATGTCAAAACTAAAAAAAAAAAGAGAAGGGAAAAAAGCTTTTTTAAAGGGCTGTAAATGTAACTCAATGTGAAAGTCTTGAGCTTCATCTCCACTACTGCAAAACAGAGAGGGAAAAGAAGACAGAGAAGCCGGGAAGATGCACATGCTACTAATGACTGTGAGTCTATTCCTGGATATAAACATCTAACGAAAATTCTCACTAGTACCCCAAGGAAACCACAGTATTGTGATGTTTTGCCAAAACAAGGTCTCGCTATGCAGTTCAGGCTGGCTTTGAATTCATAGAGAGTCTCCTACCTCAGCCTCCTAAGTGCCAGGATTATAGGCTTGTACCACCACACCTGGCTCACTACTTCCACATTTTGGAGTTAAAACCTAGTTTGGTTTTAGGTGGCAGAAATCCTAAAATAAGTTATTTAAGCAAGCAAAGTTCTTAGTTCATTTAAAAGTCCAGAGGTCAGTAGTGTAGCAACATGGTGACAGCCAAGCTTTCATGAGGTCCCAGTTCTGGAAGTCCTCAGTGTCAGTAGAGCTATCCCATATCCAGTCAGCAGGTAGGCGGCAAGCAAGGACAGGGCACACAGGCACATGCTTCCCTGTGGACACTTCCTAGAAATGACACACCTCTGCCAGTTGGACCCCAAGAGTCAGAATTAGCATTACCTCTAGTTAGACTCCATATGACACCTACTGCCATGTATGTGTTATGTAAATAGTTATACTGTATTGTTCAGGGCATAATAATAGGAAGAAAGGTCCGTACATGTTCTATACATACATACACTTCTCTCCCTAACAGCTGCAACCATGGTTGGCTGAATCTACAACTGCATTGATGTGGAGAGCTAACCATACTGTCTTTTATATGTTGCATGTCTGTTTTTGGCTCAAAGCTGTGAGCTTTAGTATCTGAGAGGGAGAAAAAATAGATAAGGGGAAATGGTCCTTGTCACCACAGGTGTCACATCAAGGTCACACAGCCAGAAATTCTCAAGTATACATAGGTTGAATGTATTGCCATTTATTTTGATGAGATTGAATACATAATCTTAATGTATACAAACTTATTAGTGGGCATAAAAGATCTGAAAATATGAACAGCTATGACATATCATGAACTAGTTAAATGTTATAAAATTCAAAGTAAAAAATAAAATAAAATTCAAAGGAATGCCAAGTTCCAATAAAATATTTTCATGAAGCTGACATACTTTTGCTAAAATTATACCACTACTGGTGGATGATTCATGACATTTTTAGTAGACAAAACTGGCTTGTTAGATTGAAAAAAAAAATGATCTCACATACAGAGATGCATTTTAAATCATGTAAAGTGACGCTTGGTGTCTAGCAGCCAGTATAGTCAGGTATTGACCAGTGAGGACCAAGTACTTGACACACAGAACAGCTGCTGCCCCATCCACACCAATGTGTTCCAACTGGACTTCAGTCCTATTTAGTGGCTAAATAGGAGAGGAAAAACACCAAGCTAACAGAAGAAACTGACAACAGCTTTTAACTAGCTCTAAATAAGATGGTAAAAAGCACAAACTTTATAACAAAATGGTTAATTTGTTTACGTTAAAATCAAGACTGTTCAGTGAAAGATACCTTTACATACACAAAGTGCCATTCTAGGATTTATTTGCAATCACCCAAGAGTACACAAGCAACTCCTCAGAATAAACAAATACAAGAAAAGGAAACTCCATGAGGAAATCAGCAATTCACAACAAGAAAAATCAGAAAGGCTGACAAATACATTTTAAAAACTCATTTTTTTGTTGTTTGGTTGGTTGGTTGGTTGGTTGGTTTTGGCAGTACTGGGGATTGAACTGAGGGCCTTAGCATTGAGCTATGTCCCCAGTCCTTTTTTATTTTTTATTCTAGAGGCTCACTAAATTGAAAAAATGTATAAATTCTTCCTTAGTCTCCACAGTGCTGGGATTCCAGGTGCGCTATACTATGCCCAGCTTTAAAAATAATGTACCTAAATTAATGATGATCAAAAGAATGTACATTAAAACATGGCATCACTTTATGCTCATCAAATTAGCCAAAATCAGAAAGCTGGGAGACATCCATTGCTGCTAAGGGTGAGAAGAAATGGAAACTTCAAGTGGGAGTGTCAATCCCCACTCTGAGGACAAACCTGGGAAGCCAGAGAAATGGACCTGTATGACCCATAATCCTCTCCTGGGTACACAGGCTACAACCCTGTTCATGAAGCACAGAAGGGGCCCCAGAAAAGAATGTTCATCGTGGCCTTGGATACAATGCCAAGGCATTGGAGACACTCAGGTGTCAACCGCTTAAGGCTTCGTGTGAATAAAATGTGGTTGACGTCCCTGTGGAGTACCACGAAAGCAGTTCAGAGTAATGACAGGTCACACTAAGCAGCAGGGCTAGAGCTTCACATATGGTGGGTGAAAACAGAATTAGATCTATTGCACAATACCATTTACCCATAAAATACTCTAACTTTTAAAAACATTCATATTCAAATGTGTAATAAATATATTAAATGGGATGTTGATGGAAGAGGATGGTATAAGGAAGGGGAATTCAAAACAGAGAATTCTTGCATGAGACTATATACCCAAGATCCAAAACAAAACTTAAATACGTGCACCAAAAAGGGTGACAATGAAGGGTCCTGGGATTGAAAAGATGCTTAGGGCTGAGATTCCCCTACCCTTCAAAAGAATATTCTGTCTACCTGTTCTTAAACTACAGGATCCGTGCACTTGCTCACTCACTCGCTGCATGCTAAGGAGCCAGCCATTGCACATGCCTCCAGCACGCTCAGCCGCAAAGTGAGAATAAGGCCACTGTTGGTCCTCAGTGTGATGTAAATCCCAGATCTAGAAACCCATTCCCCACCCTCATTTATTTCAACTCTTTAAATATGAGCAAAGTTTCATAGAAGTCATTTCAGTGAAGCCAAGGGCAGTAACGGAAGTTCAAGGGCACAGGTGGGCTAGAAACTCAGCATGACATGTGCATGGTGCCATAGGCTGCTTACAGCAGCACAACCACCATCCACCTAACCTAGTGGTTAATGGCTTGAGGCCAGGTTAACAGGAGATAGGGTCCAAGGTCCCCCCTTGCTTTTGACTCTGCTTAAAAATAAATTCTGCCTCAAGTTGTTTTTACAGGGCCAAAAAAGGAGGAGGAGTTCTAAGTCCTGGCTGGGCCTCCAAACAGGGAATGGGGTTTCAGGCCCAGACCTCTATGACGTCCCCAGATTCCATGCCCAGATCAGCTGGTAGCTCCTTGCCTGAAAGCTTTGTCCCATCAAAGAAGAAGGAGAGTTTGTGTCCAGACAGTCCCATGGCCTCCGCATAGTGTGACATGAGGGTCTTGAGAGGAGAATCCTGGGAGGAGAGAGAAAAACAGATCTAAAAATATGAAAGGAAAGGGGAGGCAGAAATCCTTCTAGGGACAAAGAACTTGAGACAACTCAAGGGGCCAATCAGGGACATCAGAGCCCCTAAAGGCAAGGCAAGTGGATGAGGAAGCCAGCTCAGCCAGATTCCTATCTGGGAACCGGGACACTATATCAATATATTATAAGACAGCCCAGATTCTAAAGTGCAAGTGATCCAAGTCATGGGCCAGACTCTCCCACTTATTTGATGTGTTACCTTAGGAAAGTGTTATGGGTTGAACTGTGTCTCCCAGAAAAGACACTCCTAACTCCTGGCAAATATGAATGTGACCTTATTTGGATTCAGGGCCTTGAAAATGTAATCAAGTTAAGATGAGGCCACACTTGATTAAAGTAGCTGCTAATCCAATGTGACTTATATCCTAGGATGAAGAGAGATACAGAGTGACACAGCTGCAAGCCAAGGGATTCTGGCCACCCTGAAGCTAGAAAGAGGCAAAGGATTCTATTTAGAGCCTCTGAGGTAACACAGTCCTACTAACACCTCTATATCAGATTCCCAACCTCCAAAACTGTAATAACAACAGTTTCCTATTTTTTTGTTTGTTTGTTTTTGAGGCAGAGTCTCACAATGTAGGTCAGGCTGGCCATGAATTTACAGCAATCCTCTCGCCTCAGCTACAGTGCTAGGATTACAGTGTGCACCACTACACTCAGCTCTATTGTTTTAAACTGCCCAATCTGTGATGTAATCAACATTCTAGGACCCCCAATAGATGCCTGAAACCACGGATAGTGGACACTTAAAACCAGGAAGACAGACAGATAGATAGATAGATGCTTAAGATAAAGTTTACACTTAAAATAAAGTTTAATTTATAAATTAGGCACAGTAAGAAATTAGCAATAATAAAATTAGAACAATCATTTTTTTTGTACCAAGGATTGAACTCACAACCATGTACTTGCAAGGCAGGTGCTTATGCCACTGAGCTAAATCCCTGGCCCAGAACAATCTTAACAAGACTGCAAATTGCGATAAAAGTCACAAAAATGCCATCTTTGTCTGTCTCAAAACATTTTACTGGGGGCTAGCTCAGCGGCATAAGCGCCTGCCTTGCGAGCAAGCAGTTGTGAGTTCGATCCTCGGTACCGATAAAAAGGAAAAAGACAAAAAAAAAAAAAAAAAAATTTTACTGTACAATGGATTTTAGCAACTTCAGCATGTGATTTCCTTAAAAATTTTCATTTTTGCCTGGCATGGGTGAAGTTGTGAGTTCGATCCCCAGTACCAAAAAAAGAAAAAAAAAAGAATTTTCATTTAAAGGAATTATTTTAGCTGGACATGGTGATGCACACCTGTAATCCCAGCACTCAAGAGGCTAAGGCAGGAAGATTGCTATGCGTTCAAGGTCAGCCTGACTGCATAGCAAAGCCCTGTATCAAAAAGACAAAAACAACAAAAGCTACAAATGAAAAAAGAACATGCAACACCAATGTCTCCACTGAGTCAAGATTAGGAGGAATCTGCCGCTCATAAACTGACAAGAGAGCAAAAGAAAGAAATGCACAGCCACTTTACCCACTCACTTGAGATAGTGAGATCTCCAGCATTTGGTGTTTCTCTTTCCCCTGCACCCGGAGCCGCAGCTGTTGAGAAACCTCTGCATCTTCTGAGGAACTTGCCAACACCACACAGTCTGTAGGAGTCAGGATCAGGAAGCCAGGCCTAAGTAGGGGGTTGGAAACAGGGCCCACGCCAGACTGTTCCTCTCTTCCCCTCCTATAGCAAAATCCTCAAGGCCCAACCACCTTGTCTTTTACTCACCAATGATATCAGCCACTCCAAGTTTTAAGGTCCTAGGGGTGGCAGCAGGGGACAGCTCTGTCTCTCCAAAGAGCAAGAGGATCCTGCTTGGGGATACCCCAAGATGAGAGGCCATATGGTCCACTACACTCTGAAAGGGCTCCGACTAGAGAAGGGGTAAGAAGCACAGGTAGCCTTCCTGCCTTGAAATTCCCCAGCCCAGCTCTACCCCAACACCACTACCCAAAACACAAGAATCTGGCCTGAACTCCTCATCTGTGAGTGTCACCATACTTACCTGGCAAGTGTAAAGTCATGTCAATAAGGAATTCAAGTAAATAGCACAAAAGATAAACCAGCCATAGTTTAAAGACAAAAAAGGGAATGGTGGAATTACCACAAATGAATCACATGGCCATCTTAAAAATCAGCTCTTACACACTTTGGACAACTGCTAGACTGGTGAATATGCATCAGTCTGACTGCATCTTCCATTTAAGAGAAGCCAAAAACTTGAGCCTCTGTCTGAATATCTGCTGCAAAGGCTGTCCACAAACCTGTTTTGTTTGGCAGTGCCAGGAATGGAACTGAGAACCTCTCACCTCCTAGGCAAGCACTCTGCCTTGAGTCACATCCATCTCCAGCTTCAGGTTTATGTTAAGTGCACCTACAGTGCAGGCAGCAAATTGCGGTTGATAAGGCCTTGGATGCCCAGTCTGCAGCACCCAGCTTAGCTGCTTGACTCATGCATAGTTAGTGTTCATTTCTGTTTTCACCTTTGGCGTTGAACTAGGACCATTCCTACACAATCTCAGCCTTTGCTAGGAAGCTGGGAAACTCAGGATGACTGAATGACATCTAGTATGTCCAGCAAGTTGAGGATGACCCCAAAGCACAGGCCCTACAAGGCACTTCCAAGAAATGCTTCCTAGAAGACACATGCTTAAGTGGAGTCTTCAGGATGAATAGGCAGTCTGCCAGAAAAGAGACTGAAGGAAAAAACAGAGGGAACAAGACGTGTAAGGCATGGAGGGACGAATGAGTGGTGGGCAGCTCGAGAGAGCAGCATACAAAAAGGAAGGTATTAGGGCTGGGGATTTAGCTCAGCAGCATAAGCGCCTGCCTGGCCAGTGCGAGCTCGTGAGTTGAATCCCTGGTACCAAAAGAAAGAATAAACAAAAAAAGAAAGATATGGTCTCTCCAGCTGGCCCCTACCTGGCCCCTCCTCCAGTATGTCCTCAGACACTTACCATTCTGATGGGCAGTCTGACCACGTCAGCCCGGCAGCGAACTTTGAGAGGGAAAAGCCGGGGGTTCTCTGGGAGGACAGGCCCCTCTACGAGGACTACGTCATCATCTTGGCTCTGGAAGTCTCGGCCCTGATGCTGCTTGGGGCTCAGGCAAGATCGGAGATCCTGGAGGCGTTTGTTCACCTCCCTAGAATGCAGAGAAGACTCTGGCTCAGCTGGGACCGCCCACCTACCACATTGCCCCTCCTCACCCTGGTGAGGAACCCCAGCCTCTGGCACCTTAACTTCTGGAGTGCCCGAGTATGCTTCTTGCTTTTACTTCTTGGTGGAGGTGAGGGCAAAGGAGAAGTGTCCGAAACCCTAAAGAGAGGAAAGAGGGACCAGATGGAAGTTAAGGAAAAACCCAACCCTGTACATCTTTTCATGGACTGTGGGCCCCTAGGAATAAGAGGAGAACAAGAAAATCAAGAAGCACCTCTCAGTAGCATCCATTTTACTGGAAGTGAAAGGTAGGTAAGAGCCTGGGAAAAATTGAGACATCATTTATATATTTACAAGACTCAAACATGAGGGAGGAAAAAGCCTACTTATAGTCACTTTCCAGATAAAAGGCCAATAACATCCAACAGGCACTGAATATTCTTCATCTATTTAACAGCTAACAGTTGCCATGATTATTTCCATTTTACAGATAAAGATACAGAAGCACAGAGAAGATACAGAACAGACAGCTGAGTGTCAACCACACCCTTCACCCCTGTACTGTCCCACCTTAGATTCCATTCCCACTGACTGGACAGGTCACCTGGAAAGGTCACCTCTTTCTCAACCTGAGCATCCAGACTCCTTTTATGCCTACTCCTTAACCTCTCAGAAGCCACCTGAGGAGCCAGAGATATAGCTCAGCGGCACAAGTGCCTGCCTGGCAAGCATAAGGTTGTGAGTTCAATCCCCAGTATCCAAAAAAAAAAAAAAAAAAAAAAAAAAACCAGAAGCCACTTGAGCATCCTGCCTGCCCTGGCTTACCTCTCCAATTCCCTTCCTGTTCCCTGGGTCCAAGTGCCCCAATCTTACTCACATTAACACCTCCTTTTTCTTCTCTTCTTTCTCATCCTTACTCCTCAGCTTCCACGGAGAGCTTGGAAATGGGGGATCCTCAGGGTGAGGACTGCTGGAATCTGCTATATCTGCCTCTGGGGAAGAGCAGGAAAAGCGAGTGCAAAGAGTTATCCAAGAGACAGTGCAGAGGTCAAGGAGAAACAAGTCAGAGGCTTTTAGGAGGGTCTATGAACTGGGGTATGGCATGAGGAAGGCCCTGGGTTTGATCCTCAATGCCGCATAAAAAAGTTTTTGAATAAAATAAGGGCCAAAGGACACTGACCTTTCTAAACATGCCTAGGACTACTGTTATTTGCTTAATATTTTTATCTTTATATCACTCATTTTAAATTTCTAATAAAAAATCAGATATTCTAGAATATAAACTTTTTTGCCATTTGCTTGGTTTCAATAAAAAAATCCTAAGACTGGGCTATAGCTCAGTGGTACAGTATATGTTTAAGGCTCTGGGTTCAATGCCATGCACCACTCACCTTAAAAAAAAAAAAAAAAAGACTGTAAAGCATAAAAGTAAATAAATACAGTTGGGCTGAGACTTTAGCTCAGTGGTAGAACACTTGCCTAGCAGATGCAAGGACCTGCACTACAAAAATAAAAATACATATATACTATGGAAAAGAAACCATGATAATCAACTCTAGATCAATGACTTTCAGTCAGGGGCAATTTTGCCTCTTGAGGAACACATAGCAACACTGGAGACAATTTTGGTTGTCCCTATGTAATGGAGGAGGGATTGGGGTACATTACTGGCATTTAGTAGAGAGATGAGGATGCTGTTAAAGTTTCCACAATGCATAGGATACAGGCACCCCCAACAAAGAATTTTTCAGCCCAAAATGTCAGTAATGCTGAAGTTAAGAAATCCTGTCCTGGCTAAACGCAATAGCTGCAACAAGCATGAAATTCTACACTTCTAACAAGCTTTCCTGGGACTCCTAACATTGCTGGGCCCACATTCTGAGTAGCAAGGATAGAGGTACCATTTACAATGACATGTCTATCTTCCACATACTGCAACCCTTAACCATACACAGGGACAAGACAGCTCTATTTCCTTTAAATAATTCTCATCCAGGGCTGGAGATTTAGTTTAGTGGTGCAGCATCTGCCTGGCAAGTGTGATGACCTGAGTTCAATTCCCAGTACCCATTAATAATAATAATAATAATAATTCTCATCCAGATCCTTTGACATAGGTCCACTATTATCATTTTCCTAAAGAGGAAATTGAAGTCTTAAGAGATTAAGTAATTTGGCCAAGGTCACACAACTATTTAAGGACAGAGCTGGGGGCTGGGGATTTAGCTCGGTGGTGTAAGCACCTGCCTGGCAAGCCAAGGTTGTGAGTTCAATCCCCAGTACCAAAAAGAAATAATAAATAAAATAAAGGACAGCCCAAGCCACATGGCTCCTAAATCTGCTCTTAATCAGTCTGCTATGCTCCTTCATAGTACAGAAATCTGGATCCAAAGTCTGCATTTGCAAACTGGATCTCTTCCTTATAAATGATCCTATTCACTGACCTTTGCAAAAGATCTGCAAAAATGCTATCTGGGAAAGGCAAAGACTGGAAGACCAGATAAGGTTCAGTGAACAGCCTGCGGGCTCCAGAGTGTTCCCAAGAAACTAATAACATATGTAACCAGATGTTGCAATTTCTCAACGCCTCCCCTTCCCCTGTCCCCAATGGGATTACAAAATCAGAATATCTGGGGGGTGGCACCTGAAATCTATAAACAAACACTGTCTTGTACTGTGTGGTGAGGAAAGTGGTTCGACAGCACTTCCAAGTGGGCTCCTGCGCATTCTGGCTAACAATACTGTCTCCATAAAGGAGCACTGCAACATGAGTGCCCTCTCCTACCTCTCTCCGACCCTCAAGAGACAATGGAGAGCGAGAGACTGCAAAAACTTCCTCAGAGAAAACAGCCCTGAATCCTCCCTTACCTTCCTCAGCACCTTCCGGGTAGAGTTTCAGGAGAGACAGGGGGTCGGGGATGGGATGGAAACTGCTTTCTACCTACAAAAATTAAAAAGGGAGGGTCTGTCCCAAGTTTTCCCCTATTGGAAGGCAAACAGAATTTTCCCAGACACCCAGCTCCTAAACTGTCGCTCAGGATGAGGAGGACATCATCATCCAAGGGACTCAGGAGTCCAGCTTTCCCAGGATCCAAAATGGTAATGCCTTCATCCTTATCTGTCCCTAAGGCACCCTGAAGATGCAGGCTTAGTTGCTGGCCATCCCTCTACCAACTACTCTTAGGGAATCCCACCCAGCTCCTAACTCACCGCGTTACCTGGGGACCCTGGTTTCTCACAAGAACCCCCTCAGTCCTTATTCCCCATAGTCCCAGTATCCCAGTTTCCTAGCATCCTTGGCAAGGAGCTCCAGCCTCAAAACTCAACATGCTCAAAACCCTGCAGGTTTTCCCACCCGTCTCAGACCCTCAAGAATCCCAGCCCTTCGGACTCCCTGTTCATCCTTGCGACTTCAGGTGGCTCAGGAGCCCTGCGTCCCTCTGCCCCCGACAACCTGGCCCCGTCTCGGAGCAGCCCCAGCGCCCCGCCCGGCCCGGCAGACCTTCCCGGAATACACCGGAACGACCGGCGCCTCCCCCGGGTCCAGCAGCAGTGGTCGCCGCCGCCTGACTAGCGTCCGCGGGGCTTCTAAGGACCGCGCGTCCGCCCCATCGCTGTCGCTGTCGTCCCGGAGCGTAGCAGAGACCCGGGACTCCGAAGACTGGACCTCAACAGGGTCCGCTGCATCCCGCGCGGTGGCCACCTCCAGAACATCCTCATCACTATCGCTGACCAAGTCCACAAGCATTGTATCCACAGTGCGCCCAGCTGGAGACCGCTGAGCGCGAGGACGCCCAGCCCGGCCGCCCCGGCCGCCGCGGCCGCGCCGGCCGCCGCGGCCACCCCGAGACCTTCGGCCGACCCCACCACCTCTGGGCCTCAGAACCTGTCTCACAGGTTCCGCCATGTCGCACAACCGCCACGCACGCCCGCCCCCACTATCCATGCTCACCCACCTCAGCGATCTCGGCTTCTCATTGGATGAACAGCGTGGCAGTCAGCACCCCTCTCCGCCCACGCTCTCTGAGCCCGCCTCTCTGCCTTGGTATTGGTCATTGTATCCATCCATCACGCACCCACCACTGAAACAAAGGCGCCAAAGATTCTAACAGTCTCAGTGCAATCCGCGAAGGTTTTGATTCGGTCGGGCTCACCCATTGGCTGAGTTACGTCTCTACTGACAAGCCTTCTTGGCCATCGCCCATTTAAAAGACCTGTTGTCCACTTTTGGTAGAGGAGCGAGGCATCTAGGGAATGGTAGTCCTCAAGTCTGAAGTCTATGAGGAGGGACAAAGCCAGGTATATACTTCAGGAGCTCCGCAAACTGCAGGCGGAGCCCGTCCTGAGTAATCCCAGAACGCCTAGAGACTGAGACAGGATGTCGCAAATTTGAGCCCAACCAGTGCGAAATAGAGGCTTAGTGAGAATCTGCCTCATTTTAAATTTAAATAAAATTTAAAATGGCGCGAGGATCGTCCTGAGTTCAAGGCCAGCCTGACCTACTTGAGTTCAAGGCCATCCTGAACTGTGTAGGGAAATCCTGCCTCAAAAATAAGTGAATAGGGGCTGGGGATTTAGCTCAGCGGCATAAGCACCTGCCTTGCAAGCAGGCAGTCGTGAGTTCAATCCCCGGTACCGATAAAAAAAAAAAAGAAAAAAAAAGTGAATAGGACTAGGCGCATAGCTCAGTAGCACAGCACCTGCCTAGCAAGCGCGAGGTCCTAAATTCGATTCCTGATACCAATAAATAAGTCTTTCAAAAGGCCTGATGTGTACCTCAGTGGGAGGCACTGGGTTCAATGCCCAGTATTGTACTGAAAAAGGAGAGAGCGCACTACTCCTGAGACTTTGCAGGAGGCGGGTCCCTGGAGCCAGTGACTGCTGTGGGCATTCGCCAGGCGATACACTCACATACGTGTGCCCTCCCTCATCACAGGCCCCTTCTACCCAGAGGTTTCACACACAGTGTCCACAGAATTCACTGCGGTACAGCTCCCCGCCGCGCCACTCAGCAACACCTCTAAGGCAGATGCAGACTACATTGAGCAGCTTGGTTCTCCTTGCTGAAAAACAGAACTTCCGGTGTAGATTTCTTTTCCAGTACAGATGCCCCTCCATAGACCCTGAGACAAAGCCTACTGCAGATCCCACCGACTTGTCTGGCATCCTACTCCAGATCTGAGAGCCTGGAAGTCTCTGTGTGTGAGTGTGTGTGTGTGGGGAGGGGGGGGTGTACTAGGGATTGAACCCAGGGACTAGCCCCTCCCTCTTTATTTATTTATTTTGTAATGGGAATCAAATTCAGAACCCTGTGCCACTGAGCTAGGTCCTCATGCTCTTCCAGTCCTTCTTAAATTTTATTTTGAAACAAGATTTTGCTGAATTGCCCAGGCTGGAGTAAAACTCGAAACCTTCCTGCCTCAGCCTCCCTAGTAGTGGGGATTACAGATCTGTGCCATCGCCACCCTCAGTGAGGGTTTAATTAAATTGTATTTTCCCAACACACCAACCCACACTTCACACAAACAGTATCACATTCCTCGGACACTGTATCTTCCACACAACCCCTGCACAACACAACACAAGCACACTCCTTCAACACACTCCCATTTGCCTCCAACTGCCACCTATCCACACCAAACATCCACACCGTGCTTACTCCAGTAGCCACGGCCCTCACACATGCACAGAATCCACAGAAGGCATCTCCACACATCCACCCAAAACACATCTCCACCACGCAGTATCCTGTCCTGGACACTGGCCCCGTGGTGCCACACTAACACTATATATCCGGCTCCACCAGCAGGTACCCACCACACTGCCTCTGCTGGGGCAGCACCGTAGCACAGGGCCACCGGCAGCTGAGGCCACTGGCCAGGGACTCCAAGGACTTCCCTTAGGGACACTCCTACCATGCTGGAGGCTCTGAGATTGCATCAGAGGCCCTGAAGGAGGCCAAAATGTGCTAAATATAATTCCCTGATGTGCTAAATGTGCTAAATGTGCCAAAATATAATTCCCTGACAGATTTTGAGATGTCTATGCAGAGAAATGTGGACTCTGGAATATCTCTGGAAAGCTGTTCTTCTGTAACACAAATGTCCATTTTACAGGAAATCTTAAAAAAGTAAACTGTGCATGCAAGCAGAGGTTGTCTCTGGAGCCCTCTTATCTGCTTGAACACTGAGATACCAGACTGTGGCCCTCCACACACCTTGTACTAGGGATAGAGCAGAGGGAATGCTGAGATAAACCCACAGTCTTTTGGGGTTTTCGTGTGTGTGTGTGTGTGTGTGTGTGTGTTTGGCTTTTTGTTTTATATTGCAGTACTGGAAATTAAAATCAGGGCTTTCACACTGAGCTACATCCCTTGCCCTTTTTTAAAAATTTTGGGACAGAATCTCTTTAAGTCAATAAATCACCCAGACAGTGTTCAAATTTGTGATCCTCCTGCCTCAGCCTCTCAAAGTGCTGGGGTTACAAGCATGCACCAGAATGCCTGGCTCTTTTTCTCCTCTTCCTCCCCTCCTCCTCTTTTCCATCTCCTCTTCTTTCTTAGTGCTAGGGATAGAACCCAAGGCCTTGCTCATGCTAGGCAAGTGCTCTGCCTTATATGGTGTGTATCCCTTTCTTCATCCTGCCCTCCTGGGGTTGTTACCACACCCCCAAAACCCTAAACTTCTTTGTTTTTTTGAAGCTCAAAATTATAAGCTCCAATCATCTGGCCCCATCCCCCTTTTTTGAAAGACAGGGTCTTTCTGTGTAGTTCAGGTTGGCTTTGAGCTCACTGTGTAGCGCAGGCTGGTGTGGAACTCACAGAGACCCTCTTACTTCATCCTCCTAAGTGCGGCATTACAAGAGTGCACCACCACATCCCACCTTTTTTTTTTAATAACTAGCCAAGCTCAAATGCAAAACAGAATCTTGGTGCCAGAAATAAAGAAGGAAATTGAAGCCACTGTGCTGGAGGAGGAGAAATCCCTAGCATTTCTTGAGCACAAGAGTCAAGGAAGAGGGCCCAGGAATGCCACAGGGCTAAAATTCAGTGATGCTAGATGATGTTTTGTAACTAGACTGGCCATTCCTGCACTGCTGAATGATAATAATTAAGTAAATTGGGCTTGTTTTGAGATGAGTTTCAGGATGTAGCTTAGCTTAGATTGACCTCAAACTAATGATCTTCCTGCCTCAACTTCTCTAGTTCTGGGTTGTAACTTCTAGACGTGTGCAATACCTGGCTCTGTGGCTGAATGACTAGATGGCAGAAATGTGGCTGAGGGTGTCACTGATTGGAATATGAGGAAGACTCCTTAAAATTGAGATGGGAGCCAAGCATCATGGTTTATTAATGTAATTTGAACACTCTGGAGGCTGAGGCAAGTTCAAACCCTGTGTAGGCAATTTAGTGAGACCCTGTCTCAAAGTATAAAAAGGGTTGGGAGTGTGGCAAAGGCTCTCAGATCAACCTTCAAGACAAATAATTAGGTAAATGGAATTGGGAACCTCAATTCTTGACATATCATTGCAGAAAAGCATTTCAGAACATCACTGAGAAGCACAGGCTGATTTATTAGATAGAGTTGGAAAGTCACAGAAAATGAGGAAGGAGCTTCAGCTGGAGGGGCTGAAAGAGGCACATCTCTGATAGAGACCAGACTGGCCGACTGACAAAAGAACAAGACCTGTTCTGACAGAGGCCAGAGGGTCTGGAGCATCTTCATTATCTCAGTTCTGGTTTGGCGATATCGCCATGGGAGAAGTCCTCACTGCGTGAAGGGGCGATGTGCTCTCTAGAGAGGACCATTTCTGCCTGGGGTAGCCTCAGTGGTGCAGAGGTCCTGCTGGAATCCAAGGTGACTGTAGATTCAGAACTGATTGGAGACTTCTGGGCACCCATTAGTAGTTGAATGTCCTGGCACCACTCTCGTCTTGGTGTCTCAGTGGGGATGAGACTGGTTATATAAATTTAGGGCTAATCAATCTTGTATTGCCAGCTTTGAGACAAACATGCCCTAAATGATTAGTGTGTTTTATGTGCAGAGCTGACCTGCGATGTCTCCCCAAGTATCAAGGTAATGAAGGGGACAGATGCAAAATGTAGGTCAAGCTTTGTTCTGATTTTAGTTATCCATCGAGCATCTGTAGGCTCTCTCTCCCTGCCTCCTTCTCTCTCACTCTCTCTCTGTCTCCTCTCTCTCTCTTTTTCTCTCTCTCTGTCTGTCTGTCTCTCCTTCCCTCTCTCCTTCTCTCCTTCCCCATCTCTGACCTCTTTAGCAAAAGTAGATTCCAAGTCCCTCACAGCCTCTGAAGAAAATACAAGCCATAATTTTAATGAATAGCAGGTTAAAGGCCGAGGAGTGAATTAGTCTGCCCTTTGTCTCCGTGAGGAATTAGGTAGGCTACTGCGGGCAAATGGGTAAACCAGCCCCAGGAAGAAAAAAGTGGCATGGTGCATGCAGTGCAACCCTCCTTTCTTGGGGAAACTTGAGAGGGGGCAGGAGAGGACCCAATCTTGCCTTTCCTTCCCTTCCCATACAATGGCACTATGCAATTGATTAGAAGAGCTCATTGAGTTTATCTGGAAAAAGCAAAAGGAATCAGAAGTTTCACTGGCTTGTAGTTCCATATGTGCACACACAAACATACATATGCGTACACATGCCCTGAACAACGTCCTTCCAGAGGTTGCCCAGATTTCAGACTCAAGTGTGGATCTCCAGTCTTAAGGAAACCCAAGCTAAGCAGAAGGAATGTGCCCAGAGACCCACCCTCTGCCTTCCAGGTCCTGGCACTCTTTGCTGTGTCCCTCCCTGATCCTGGCATCCCACCCATCCCTGATTAGCTCTCTTCTGCTCCCTGCCCAGAGGCAGTTCCCAGCTCACCTGGTCACCTGGTACTCCAGATCCCCATGTGGCCTCCTCCTCCCCATGCTGGTTCTGGTTCATCAGGATTATCCATGTTCTCATACGAGTCTGCATCTAGACAGGACCAGAGAAGAGTAGAGCAGGCAGAGAAGAAGTAGGCTGGGAGGGCAAGTGAACCCAGAGGACAGCCAGGGACAATGGCAGAAGCACCCACCTTCTTCATGATGGGGACCAGGCTGAAGGGAGCGGAGCTGAGGGGCTGCATACAAGATCCCTCTCATATCCTCGTAGGACTGGGACCCTGCTTGGGCAGGGGATGGAGAATTGGAGGCCCAGGAGCCACACTGGGGGCTTGGAATAGCGAAGTGCCACCCTGTCTCCTTGTGCAGTTGAGGGAGCCATCTGAGGGGCCTGGACTAGGAGTGATTATGGCAACCTTGGGTTTGGGACTTGATTGGCTATAGAGTCAGTCAAGAACAGAACTGGGAGGAGTCAGAGTGTGAGAAAGTTGTAGCTGTGGTCAAGGTTGAAGTCTACACTGCGGACAGAGTGAGGACAAAACTCTAAGTTGGAATGAATTGGGTTCAATGTTGATGCTCAAGTTTAGTAACTATAGGCACTGAGGGTCAGGATTGGGATTGGAATTAGCACTGAGAGTAGTGTCAGAAGTGAAATCTGTCTTTGGGGTTTAGTTTGAGTTCCAATCAGATTCAAGTCAAGGTTGCTCATAGGGTCTAAAATGCAGGTGCATCAGCCCCAGCTGGGCAAGATGGGCTGGTCTTAAGCATCTCTCACCAAGTGAGGTTGCTTCCCTGCTGGGGTCCCAGGCAGATCCGTGGGGGCTCAAGAAGTCTAGAAAAGAAAGAGAGGAGTCACTATTCCTCCTGGCTTCCAGGCCTCTCCTGCCCTAGGAGCTGACCATTCATCCTCACACACACCTGTTGTTCTGGCTACTGGCTGGGCCAGCTCTTCATCCGCATTCTCGTAAGACTCTGCAGCAGCAGAAGAAAGAGCTCCAGGGACCCCTATTTTCTGCTAGAGGTTCTGCAGCATGTGGGACCACTCATGTCTCTAAGGCCCTACATGGATCCCAAATTACCGTTGGAGAAAGAGTCCTCATCTGCAGAACCCAACGGCCCGTCCTCTGGGTTCTCATAGCCACTGGCATCTGTGGAGAAGAAGGGGTGTCCAGGGAGGGTCCACCACCCACTCTGTTATGGTTTGTGTCTGGATGTCCTGCCAAAGCCTCATGCAGTCACGGGGGAGGGGGTCTTTCAAAGATGGCTGAATCTAGAATTTGATTGGTTCATTGTCAAGCACTGTGATTAGTGATAGGAGTGCTGCATCTACTCTGGGGTGGGTAGCTTGCATACAATATAAGGGAGGAAAACAGCTTGCCCCTCCTTTTTTGTCCTTTTGCTCTTGTCATTTTGGTATCTGCCAAACCCATGAATGGTTGTCCCTCAGCTCCACCACCCTGTCTTGGAGCCAGCTGAGTATGGACTGAAACCTCTACAAACTGTAAGCTAAATAAACCTTTGCTTCCCTCATTTCGGGTGTCAGGCATTTTGTCTCACCAGCGAGAAAAAAGTAACCAAGACAAAACCTTTCCTTCCTTCATTTTGGACATCGGGTATTTTGTCCCAGCAATGAGGGAAAAGTAACCAAAGCACACTCCTGGTGAACCAAGGGAAGTGGAAAAGGTGGCAACCTTACCCTGGGAGAGCTGGTCCTGCCCACGGTTGGAGTCGTTTTCATAGAACTCAGAGCCCTCCTCACTGTCGGGCTCCTCATAGCCCTCCCCTTCCTCTTCTTCTATGCCTGGGGGTTTGGAGATGAGGAGGGAAACTGACTCTCCTCCCCAAACTCCAGCCCGCCCTTCCTGCCAGACACCCCTAGAACACCTTCCAAGTGAAGAACGAACCCCTGCATTCACCCGCAGTCGTAGGGCTTCGAGACCCCATAGCTCCAGTCTCCTGGACGTCACTGCGTGAATTTCCGTAGGACTGGATGGTGCCCCCCAGGGCTGCCGCCCAACGCTGAGTGCGCCCTGGTGAAAGCGGGGTTGCAAAGGAGCCAACAAGGCCCAGAGTGGGAGCAGGGAACGCTTTAGGCTTTGGGAAAGACTGTGGGTGCCTGGCCTTGAACTATGGGTTTAATCTAAATCTAGCCTCAAATTCCAGGATAAGGTTCTGCCTTGGCATTGGACTTAAGGAGCAGAGCCCTGGGGGCGGAGCCACATCTGGGCAGTCCCCCCTACCCCAGGCACCGGAGCTCGGAGCTCTATCAGGAGCTCGGAGCTCTACAGGCTTGGGCTCAAGGGATTGGAGGAATCAAGAGGGTGGGTGGAGCTGGGCGGAGCTTTATGCTGAGGGGCGGTGTCATAGGGTTTCAAGTGTTCCTTACCAGTGCTGGAGCCCGGCGTGGGGAGGGACAGCACGTTTCCGTACTGGTTAGGGGTCCCGTTTCCTGAGGGAGGAGTCACTTTGAAGAATCTGGAGGGAGAAGGGTAGGTATACTGTGAAACTAGACCTGAAAGGGACTCGGAACCCACGCAAGATTCTGTCACTTGTGATTAGCTCCTCAGTGCTAGGACAGCCTACACTGGAGTCTGGAATCATTCCAAGGTTGTTTGTTTGTTTGTTTTTGGTTTTGAGACAGCGGCTCACTATGTAGTTCAGGTTGGTCTTCAACTTAATATGTGACCCAGGCTGACCTCGACCTTGCAGTGATCCTCCTGCTAGGATTACAGGAGTGTGCCACTGCGCCCTGCGCCCAAAGAGGTCTTGACAGAACTGGCAGCTTGGGAGCCCGGCCCTGATCCTGAGCAATGCTTCAACTAGTAGAGGTAGAGCAAAGGACCCCTGGACAGAGGAAATAGGAAGCAAACATGACAGAGAAAAAAGGAGGGGCTGAGTGGGCTTGCATTACCTCCTGTTGGGGTCAGTCATTCGTTTCCTTTTCCTCCTCAGGACCAAGGCTGGTGGGAGTTAAGAGTAATGATCAGAGAAGGGGCTGCTTGACAGGGTACTGGGGAGGTCACATACGCTAATAGAGGAGATGGTGGTTCAGATTCCAGGGGTCTTGAGAAGTCTGAGGGGGGTTAAAGGAGGACAGGGAGGGTGAAGGGATATAGAGGGGAGGAATGGGAGGACAAGATGACTGTCAGGCTAGCTAATGTGGATGTATCCTGACGAAGATGAAGTAAGGTTTAGGCAAACTGGCTGGGGACATGACTCACCTTTTCGGATCTGAAGAAAGACCACCAGAGAACCCAGGCAGAAGATCAGATAAACCAAAGACACAGCTGGGACCTTCCAGCCACCACTCCTCAGCAGCCAGTGCCATACTGCTAGGGGATAAGTGCTATGAGCAAGGTTCCCAGATTGACATCTTACTTCCCAGCCCCAAGAATACAAAGGAAGGGCCAGGGATTTAGCTCAGCAGTGTAAGTGCCCGACTGGCAAGCACAAGGTCATGAGTTCAATCCCCAGTACAAAAAACAAAAAAAAAAAGGAACATTGATCTGGGCAACAGGAACAAGACACAAGACTTGAAGTCCCCAGGTATGAAGATAGTTTTCCCTCTAAGGAGCCATGCTTCAGAGACAAAAGCTGGTACAGAACATAATAAAGTGTTCATTGAGCAAACTGTGTATACAGCATGGCAATTCCAGGACAATGGCCAAAGCAAATGACAGAGGTGAATTTGTAAGGGTAGGATTAGGATCCAGCACACTGCATGGTCATTTGGTGTGGAAATTGAGGTTGAGTATGTTCAGGATAGTATGGTAGGGTTGTATTAAGGAGATAGCATGAATCATTTTGACAGATGTAACAGATGGGGACAGTTGCCAGGCTCCTAGCTTGGGCAAGTGGGTAGGTGGTGGCACCTTTCTCTTTTGCAGAGCCACTTAGAAGATTGCATTTTGGAAAGACATTGCATTTTATTTTGTTTATGCTGAGCCTCAGGTGTCCATGAGGCCTGGAGTAGAGTCACTAACACATGAGGACCCAAGAAGCCATTAGAATAAAGAAAGTCAAAGGAAAGGAGTATGCAGACTAGGATGAGAAGGCCCAGGGTTTTGACAGTGAGGAGCAAGAGAGGAAGCCTACATCAAAGCTCCTGAGAAGGAGAAGCCAGTGCAGAGAGCCAGAAAAGTCAGACCTTAGAAGCAAAGAGGAAAGAGCTAGAGTCACTGTTCAGTATAGAAGTTGGGTTTGGAGGTGAGGCTGCTCCCAACTCTCAGATTTTGATCCCAAATTGGCTCCCAGTTCTTCCAGTAGCCCCACACAGATGCTCCACAGTGGAGACCAACTATACCTTGTCGGGCAGTGACCTTCATGTGTATCTCAGTGGTCAGGTTGCCACGAAGACAATAATAGGTACCAGCAGCTTGAACAGTGACCTGGGACAGTGACAGAACAGGCCCTAGGACCCACATCTCTTGGACTGGGGGCTTCTCTCTCAAGTAGAGGCTCAGCAATGTGCTGTCAGGTTTCTTAGGGTGCACCTGGGTCCAGGAGACGGGACCTCTGGTCACATGGGCAGGGGGCACTCCACAGGACAGCCAGAGTGTAGAGCCAAGAGCCACAGTGAGGTCTGCAGCAAGAAAAGCCAAGGTGAGGAAAGCCTAACCCCTGGGGAGGGGTCTCATCTCCCCGAAGTGTCCAGTCACCATCCCCCATCCTAGGAGCTCATTTTGGGCAACTCCACAGCTTTGTCCCCTTACCTTGAGTGAGGTTTTCATTCAGACTTCCCCTCGGTGGGGCACACACTGGCTCTGGCTCCCAACTCGGAGAGTCGCGTTTGTCCCACACATACAGCTGGGAGCTGTTGGGGTGTTGAGAAGAAGGCGTGGGGCCTTCTGATGACCCATTCCCTGGGCCACAGCTGAAGTCCCCTAAGTCCGAAGAATTCCACCGGAACAGCTCCCCTGGAAGAGACCCAGGAGCAGACACAGAGACATCAGGAAAGGCGGAGAGATACAGAGACAGGAAAGCAGAGACTAAGAAAGCGGCAAGGGGGAAGGAGGAAGGAGGGCAGACCTGAGGCGGCCTTGTGTTAAGTCACAAAATCACAGGCGTCTGCTCCCCCAGACCAGTTCCTTTCTTGTCCCTTGGCCCTCTAGGCCCTCTCTAGCTGCTGGACACCCACTACCCCAGTCCGTGGCAGGCCTCCCTCTTCTCATCCAGCCCATGCCCCACCTGACCCAGCCCTCACCGCTTCCCTCCACGCTCACTGTCCAGCCGGGCTGCCAGGCGTTCTTGGAGGGGGGCCCTGGCTGGCAAAGGTAGAAGCCCCCCATCTTGTCAGAGACATTGAAGATGAGCAGCAGGATGCCCAGAGGTCCCGTGTGGATGCCCAGGTCAGGGAGCCCCAGGTTCAGCTCTAAGAAGGGTGCTGACTGGTTGCCCCGAGACCAGACCAGCTGCTCAGAGGGAGCAGTGGAGGGACCCCGGAGGCACGGCAACACAGCATCACCTCCTTCTGCAAAGGTTCAGGCAGAGAGAGAGAAAAGGATTAGCCTCCTGCAGAAACATCTGACCTCTAAGGACGGAGGGCCCATGAGGTGGGAGTAATGGGTCCTCAGGGTCCTCTCAGATCCTCCCATTCACAAATAAAATGGAGGCTCAGCGAGGGAAAGTTACTGAGCCGAAGTCACCCAATGGAACCCAGAACTCTAGGCCCAACTCCTTCCCTCCCTGCCCTTTGGACATACCTTCCACCTCCACCAGCAGTGGTTTCTGGGGCCTGACTCCCTTGGGGAAAAGAAAGAGGAGGAAGGAGAGGAGCAGAGGAGGTGGCATGGCAGCCAGGATCCCTGGGCCACCCAGCTTTGCCGCGCAGAGGATGCTGGGGCAGGCTGGGGCCTGGTGGGCAATGAACCATGGGTGTCTGTGGAGGCGGCAGGCAGTACCCCCAAGAGAGGAAGGAGGTGGTCACGCCTTAGACTCTGTCTCCAGGCAACTTCAGCAGACCACACAACTCACCTCTTCCCTGCCATACTATTTTCTTGTTTGTTTGTTTGTTTGTTTGTTTGCTTGTTTGTTGAGAAAGTGTCTCACTGTATAACCCAGACTATTCTGGAACTCAGCAGTCCTCCTGCCTCAGGCTCCTAAATGCTGAGCTTACAAGCCCACACCAACACATCTGACTACACTGCTTTATTTTCTGGTGTTTGTTTGTCTTGCTTTGTTTTGTTTTTGGTACCAGGGATCAAACTCACAGCCTTACACTTGTAGAGTTTTATTTTCATCCCAGCAGTTAGGACCATGTGGAATGATCTGATTTGCCTGTCAGCTTGTTCTGTTTCCCTACTTGTAGGTAAGCCCATTGGAGCAGTAACTGTCCTGTTTGTCACCATGTGTCACAGTGCCCTAGAACAGGCATTCTTATGTGCCTGAAAATACCTGTTGCACAAGTGGATTCAGTTTTTTTGTTTGTTTGGTTTTGGTTTTTTTTTATCAGTACCAGGGATCAAATTCATGACCACATACGTGCTTGCAAGACAGGTGCTTGTGCCACTGAGCTAAATCCCCAGCCCTAGTGGATTCAGTTTTAGGGACTCTCTCCCTTTTGTTCTCTCTCTCTCTCTCTCTCTCTCTCTCTCTCTCTCTCTCTCTCTGTGTGTGTGTGTGTGTGTGTCAAAGGGCTCCCTCCCTACCTGCCTTTCCCATGCTCTGAATCCATTAGCTCACACACAAATATTTGTTCAACAAATATTTGATTTTGTTGAGGCAGGGTCTTACTATCTAGCTCAGGCTGGCCTTGAACTCATTATGTAGCCCAGACTGGACAACAAATATTTCTTATATTTTCTAGGTCTTCCCTCTCCATACAATGCCCATCAGCATATTTTGGGGTCTGGCAGATCAGAGTTCGGATCTTCTGGGCCATTACCTGGCTAATTACTGTATCACCCAAAGCCTTAAGTTCTTTCTTTGTCAACCAGGGATAATATTAATACTATTAAAATAGTACTTGTGAGCTGGGGATACAGTGCTCATCTAGCAGCTGAGAGGCCCCTCAACACTGTGTGACCCAGTGCATAGCAATAGTAGCCCCTTACCTAATAATTGACAGCATCCGTTAATGGTCAGAACTCAAGCCAGATTTCGTGGGTTCATACCACAGGCAGGTTTCCTCACCTGCAAACCAGGGTGATGAGAGCTGCTATACCTCAGGTTATTCTGGGGCTAAATTACTCAATGTATATATCATGCTGGGAAGGGGCTGGGCAGCTGTTTGAGAGACAGGAGGCACTATAGCTCTTTGTAGTGGTCCTTGACAGTGACCAATGAGACAGGCATGATGGTGCATGCTGTAATCCCAGCACTGGGAGGCTGAGGCAGAAGGATCACAAGTTTTTGAGGCCAGCTTGGTAAACTTGGGAACTTAGAGATTCTGTCTCAGAATAAAAAATAAAAATGTCCCAAAAAAGTTTTGTTATATAGATTCAATTCTGAGTATCACAAAATAAAATAAAGAAAGAATTGAGGATTAATGTCCCTTTTTTCCCCAGGAAGACTGTGCTTTTCTATGGAAGCAATCCATTTAAAAATGAGAGAATCAAGCAGAAGCAGGTTTGTTGTAAGTTTGAGACCAGCCTGGGCTACAAAGTGAGCTCAAGGCCAGCCTGAATAGCATAGCAAGGCCCTGTCTCAAAAAGACAAAAAAAGAAAAAAAAAGAGGAATTGAGTCCCCAAGAAAGGCAGCGCCTAAGGTCACACATCCAGCTGGTGTTACAGTGAACAGGACAACCCAGAATCTCTCCCTCTCTCTTTCTGTGTGCTGGGGTGGGGGTGGGGCACATGCTGCTTGGATTCAGCTCAGCCCCAGGAGGGCGTTCGTGTGTGTGTGTGTGTGTGTGTGTGTGTGTGTGTGTGTGTGTGCGCGCGCCTTTCACTGAAGGAAGGGAAAGGGTCTCAAGTGACCACATTCTCAGTTATCAATTCCCAGGCCTGTCTCACTGGGCTGTGGCTTCCTGTTTGCCCTTGCAAACCCCAGGGGACCCTTACAGGTGGCAGGGCCCTCCACTTCCCTTTAACTGGGTTCAGAGCCCTGGGAGGCAGAACAGTGGGCACTGGGGACTGGAGACAGTGAGTAGCAGGATCCCTGCTTACGTTTCACCCAACAAAATCTCTTGAATCCCCTGTCTTACTCCCCAGCTGTTGGGTTCAGCTCTTGCCAGAGGATGACAGTCCCTGTCCTACAGCATTGCAGGGGCTTTTCTTCTACCAAAAATAAAACTCCAAATGTTGGCCTCCAGAGGCAGGGGTGATGTTATATTTTCCACCCACCTCTCCACCCCTCTCCTGCTGCTCACCCTGTGGAGCACATCGCACCCCCAGAGCCTGCGCCTATGCTGCTTTTTGCTTGACTGGCTCCTGTCAGCAAGTCAAATGACTCTGAGCACTTCCTCAGAGACACCATCTTGGAGTCCCCAGGTACTTTTTTGACCTCAGCCTCTTATTTAATTTCCTTCCCAGCACTTGCCCCAGTCTCAAACTATACTTGTTAGTCTTCTCATCAACCTTCTGCACTAGACTATTCAGTCTTTATCAGCAGGCTTCTTTTCTGTCCCTAGATGCACCCTCAAACATAGTAGATGCTCAATAAGTGCTTGTGTAAAGGAAGGGAAAAACTTAGGAACCATAAAAGGAAACTTTTAAAGCTCATGCTCTAAGTTACCAATGCTAGTCCATTTATTATCCAAAATTTTTCTAGAATCAATTTTCTCCTCTCATTTATCTATCAGAACTAGTTCTCTAAGCCAAATGTGGCAGCAAACACCTATAATAGCAGCACTAAGGAGGCTGAGGCAGGACGATTGCTATGACTTCGAGGCCAGCTTGAGCTGCATAACAAGATCCTGTCTCAAAAAGACAAAAAGAGAAAGAGGAAGAAGAAGAAGAAGAAGAAGAAGAAGAAGAAGAAGAAGAAGAAGAAGAAGAAGAAGAGGAAGAGGAAGAAGAGTACCCTAAGTCTTTTGCTTCTCATCCATGTTCCATATGTCAAAAAAAGTTTCCTTTGCTGGGCATGGTGGCACACTCCTAATCCCAGGAGGCTGAAGCAGGGGGTTCTCAAATTCCAGCTCTGCCCTGGAATTTAACAATTTAGCAATTTAGCAAGAGCCTGTCTCAAAAACAAAACAAAACTTTTTTTTTCAAGAGGGTTGGGGATGCTGGGCATGATGGCACACACCCATAATCTCAGCACTAAAGGGAGGTTGAGACAGGAGGATTACTGAAGCCAGTTCAAAGCCAGCCTGGGGTACATAGTGAGTTCAAAGCCAGCCTGAACTGCATAGAGAAACCCTGTCTCAAGAAAACAAAAAAAAAAAAGGGCTGACTTGGATGCAGTAGCACACATTTGTAATCCCAGCATTTTGAAAGGATGTAGCAGGAGTCTTGCCTGAGCAATTTACCAAAACTCTGTCTCATAAATAAATATTAATAATAATAATGACAAAAAATAATAATAACAATGGCTAAGGATGTTGCTCAGGGTGAAGCCTCTGAGTTCAAGTTCTAGTAGCACTAAATAAATAAAAAGCAAATAAACATTTTTTAAAATTCGGAGCTCTTACTGCAGAGCTCTTTTTGCAGAGCCCTGTTTTATTTTTTACGTTTTACTGTTTTACAGCAGAATGCCCAACTTAAAACATAATTGCTAATATTTAGTTAAACAAAAGAGGTGCTAATTCCTAAGTACACATGAGGGATGTGATTGTTTTCAACAAACATCTAAACATGTCTTCTTCCTCCTCAAGCATCTGGACTCTAGGTCTACATAGGGGACCTCCTTCAATTGGGGACCCATATTTATGTTATGATTCCCCCTCCAGTAATAGCCTGAATTTGTGTTTCAATGATCAAACATAGTTACAATGTCTCTCTTCTGAAGCCCTCCACAGTCACCTACAGATGGGACCTGGCCAGGACAAAGACAACTGGAATTTCTTGAAGGTCAGTACTCATTATGAGTCTTCTGCATGATTCTTTTTTTTTTCTTTTGGCTTTTTCCTTTTTTATCGGCTCACGACTGCCTGCTTGCAAGGCAGGCACTTATGCCACTGAGCTAAATCCCCAGCCCCTTCTGCAAGATTCTTTTAGCAAAAGAAATCTCCTCTATCAGCCACATGCTTCCCTTGCTCATCAGTCTTTAAAGGCTCTCAGGGTCTGCAGCAAGCATATACCAACCATGGTTTGTGGCCTGCATATGGCCCTGGGCTGCTAGGAATTCGGCTCCACATAATTGCAAACCATTAACATAATTACAATTTTTAGTGATTTTTTTTTTTTTTTTTTTGAGTACCAGAGATCGAACTCACAACCTTGTGCTTACTAGGTGGGCACTTTTGCCGCTGAGCTATATCTCTGGCCCTGCGATATTTTTTTTCATTCAATTGCTTGAGCAAGGACTGTGTAGATAACCACAAAATGGTATGGAGGGGAGGGTTTGTTGCAGTGCTGTCTGCCTCCTGCATCTGCCACATACAGTCTAATGGCAACCCTCTCTTTGTGTGTGTCAGGTGTTATATGCGCTTGTGCAACTTGGGGACTAAAAATGAGTACCAATCATATTCCAACCTACTGGCATGTGTGTCTGTGAACACAGGTGTTTGTCTTTATTAGGCAGCCATGTAAATTACCTTATTTATTAAACTCGGGCTTGTGTTATATCAAACTAGTTTCATAAATTTTAATAAAAGAGGCAGTTTTACTAATTTTTTTTTTTTTTTTTTAGTTTTACTATTTTCTATGTGACCCAAGATAATTCCTCTTCATTTGATAAGGCCCACATCAGCCTAAAAGATGACATGCAGGGCCTACAAGATGACAGCCAAGAGTGACAGCTGTCAGGCAGGCTCTCACTAAACTTGCTGGAGCCTTATATCTGTCACATGTCATTTCCTATCCTCCTCTAGATATCTTGTCACATACACTGGAAATAGAGACTTAGTACTGAGGGCAAGAAGCTTTTGGAGAAATAATTTATTTTATATTATTATTACTATTCGTAGTGCTGGGAATTGAAGTCAGGGCCTTTGCCCTCCTAAGCTATATTCCCAGTCCTTTTTTATTTTTGAGACAGTTCTAAGTCTCCAAATTGCCCAGGATAGGCTCAAACTTGTGATCCCCCTGCATCAGCTTCCCAGAGTGTTAGATTACAGGCATCCTCTACAGTGCCCAGTTTGTATTACTCTTTCATTTTAGTTATTTTAAGAAGTCTGTAGTGTTATCTCCCTGTGGCTTTAACTGACATTTCCTTAATGGCTAATGTTAAACCTTTTTTGTGAGACTACTTGTCTTTTGTGACAGCAGTGAACTGTCTGTTCTTATCCTTTGCCTATTTTCTTTCTTGTTTTGTTTCTAAGAAGCATGAGAAGGAATTAAGAGGTAGATATAGGAAGCACTCAAGGGCAGAGTGCAGGTCTTAAGTAAATGAAGCACTTGTTTGCTTATTTTCAAACTGGACAGCTAAAAGATTTTAAGTAGGAATAAGCCATGATCTCTGCTGTACAAAGTTTGCTCCAGCTGCTTGAAGGAGAAATAAAGGGGTTAAGAGTCTCATTGTAGATAACTTTGTGTTTTTGTGCTTCCAGTGGGGTTAAAAACATCCTGGCCCAGAAACAAGGCTTTAATCCCCATGTGTCAGCATAAGGACTAAGGCCACAGGGAACAGGAACCCCAGGTCGACCTCAACAAAGAACAGGAGGTAGGCAGGATGGAGGCATCCTGTGACTCCTTCTCTGTGTTAGCTCCTGTGGAGGTGGAGGTAGTCTTAGCTAAGCCTACACTTTTCTTTATCATCATGCCACATATATGTATTACCACCTTAAATCTCCACTTTGGGGTGTGGCTTCCTATGCTAATAAAGCAATCTACTTTGGGGTGTGACTTTCCTATGCTAATAAAGCAAAGATAACCAGAGGTTTCTTTAGTTGCATTTCTTCCCTGCCCCCATCGGCGCTGAGGCTAGGCAGGTGTTTATGCCATTGAGCTAAAACCCCAGTCCCTTTAGCTGCATTTCTATGATGCTTGTTCCTTGCCATTTGGAATTTGCCTCTTATCATCTGGGACAGTTCTTTGGAGCAGAGCAGATCATTCTTCTGCCTTGATGGGGCTTAATCTTAATGATCTTGGTTTTTTGGGTCTGGGTTTAGCTAATTTCTTTGTTGTTTTTTTTTAAAGTTTTTAAAAACTTTTTATCGGTACCAGGGACCGAACTCACGACCGCCTGCTTGCAAGGCAAGCTTATGCCGCTGAGCTAAATCCCCAGCCCCTTCTTGTTCTTGTTTTTGAGACAGGGTCTCTATAGTTCAGGGTGGCCTCAAACTCACAATGATCCTTCTGCCTCAGCCTCCGAAGTGCTGGGATCACAGGCACACACCATCACGCCCAGACTGTTTTTATGTCTTCAAATGTGCTCTTCCAATTGTTTGTTTTTGGTTTTTGGTTTTTTTGAAACAGGGTCTCATTATGCAGTTCAGGCTGGCCTTGAACTCACTTTGTAGCCCACACACTGATTTTGAATTTGCCATAATCCTCCTGCTCGACCACACCTAGTTTATGCTCTTTTAGTTAATTTTATAGCCTGGGAGACTGGTCTATTTTTTAACTCCTAATCTTTCTATATGTCTGTTAACCGTCCCCCAACAGCCCTATGAGCTATTTCATCACTAAGGAAGAGCACTGGGGAGATGCTGAGCACTGGGACTGGGTGTTGATGCAGGGGAACGGTGGGGACTCCACATTCGGAGATAATCTCTTCATTGCAAGATATGTTTGCAGGACAAGAAAACCGGCAATATCAGCCTTTTAGTTTCGTGGAAGAGTTTTCCTCTGTTAACAGGTTTAGGGGAAGGGGAATCAAGGCTCTGGACTTTGAATTGTCTGTCACTGGGCCAAGAGGAGAGGCCACAGATAATAGGAGCTTGACCCAGAGCCCAGATCAGGAGAGGGCGGATTTGAGGGTCTGGGAGAGAGAGAGGGGGATTAGCAGAACGCAGCATCGCCATAGGGGTGGTGAAGTGGAAGATTCGCATTTCTGTGACTGATCACCCAGGGACTCAGAGGCGCCCAGAAAAATGAAGTCGACACAGCCCTGGCCCCAGGGACGCCCCAAGAGGGCGGAGGTGCAGGGAGGGCCAGGCCACCATTCGCTGTAACGTGAGCCAGGCTGTGGCGGAAGGGCGGCCGGCCGATCAAAGCCAGGCTCCGCAGCCAGGGCACGCGGAGGGAGACCGCGCGCTTCGTCCGCCCAGGCCGAGTAGCAGGCACCCCCGAGAAGGTGCAGCTAGAGCAGAGCGTCCCAGAACGCTGAGACGCCAGGAGCCCTCTGGAAAAAGAACTGCAGGACTCTGAAGAGCAGGCATCCGACGGAGCCGCGCCGCCCAGCAGAGAGGCGGGGCCCGGGCCGGTGTCCACTCGGAAATCTCCGGCCGACACTCCGCAGTACCCCAGCCACCACGGGCCTGGGCAGCTTGCCTGGGACCCATCCGGAAACAGCCGAGCGGATCCGGAAACAGCCGACAGGACCCGGAAGCGGTGAGCGCCGTCACCAGGGAGTGCGGGAATCCGCCGTTTGCGCTGAAGTGATGGCTGCAGCTGCGCCAGCTGCCCCAGGCGAAGACGGGCGTCTGCAGCGACCAGGAGCGGGTACGTGAGGGCGAGTCCATGCACGCAGGGAGCTGTGGATCCTGAGGCGGGGCAAGTCCACCAACCCGCAGTCTGGGGGTGAAGGAAGACTTGGGAAAGAAGGCGGGGCTGTGCATCTGGGAAAGGGGTGGGGCCTGGAATCACCAGGAAGGGGGCGTGGTCTAATGGCTCAAGGGGTGTGGCGAGTGGTGAGAGGTGGGTGGAGCCTATAGGAAGGCGGTGGGCCACCCAAGGTGGAGCGAAGTGGAGGGAGGGGCCAGGTGAGTGGGGCAGGACCGAGTGCAGGTGGGGCTGCAGTGTAGTAGGTTGCAGCACCTGTTCATTTGGTAGGTGGCTTGGGGTGTAGGGCATCCTACAAGTGACTGACTTCTGTTCCCCACAGCTCTGGACCGCTACCCCCAGGACGAGACAAAAGTGGAGGGCGAGTCAGGTGAGCTGGGCCGGCTGCGGGTAGAGCTGGCAGGCGCCCTAGCAGAAATGGAGACCATGAAGGCTGTGGCGGAGGTGAGCGAAAGCACAAAGGCGGAGGCTGTGGCTGCAGTGCAGCGACAGTGCCAAGAGGAGGTGGCTTCACTTCAGACCATCCTGAAAGGTGAGAGAGCCTCTTCCAGATCCCCCTTCGGCCCTTCAGGGTAGCACAGGACAGGAAAGGCATCAAGAAGCTATGGGGAGTTTAGCCTAGAGGTAGAGGGGCCCTTTCCTAATTTGCATAGAGCCCCATGTGTGACAGCACCAACTCTGTCAGCCTTAACTAAGTTTAGCTCCCATCTTCTCTCTATTTCCTTGCCTTGTGACACTTCTTGTTTCTCACTGATGACTGACCAACCCTGAAGGTGAACAAGAAACTTCTCAGTTCCCCAAAGCACCCTCATTTTAGTCTGGCCTCTGGGCCACAGCTTCAACCTCAGCCTAGTCTGAGAGCCTAATCTCCTGGTTTCCTTCCTTTGCAGCTCCCCCACAACCCTCCACCCTTATTATACCTTCCTCCACGTCAGGAGGGCACTAGCCCCCTGGACCCCAGGTCCCCAGCTTCTTTTCCTGTTTCCCATTCGCTTCCTCTGCTTTGGTCGAGGTCTCGCCTGGACTTCCACCGAAACTTCCTCACAGGCCTGGCCCTGTGGCCTGGCCTTGACACTGGCTTCCAGAGTGGACTGCTGAAAATTCCCATCCCACCATGTCTTTTCCCTTTCTAACCACTGCTGGCTCCAGCCTTTTCTGGGAACTGTTTCCCACATTTCAGGCATCCATACACCTATGTGATGTCATTGTATCTGTGCAGTTTACCCTGTAAAAAAGCAAAATTTAAAAAGTTTGTGTTCTGCTCAGCATCTCCACCTACCACTATTCTGTAGGATAAGTTCCAGACCACTTGGTGTGGTGCTGAAGGCCTGGGAGCCACAGAATGCCACTTTCTCCACCCTTTCCGCTAGGGTGCCTTTGTGCAGACTCTTCTGACAGCACCCAGCCTCCTCCTCACCTCCTCACCTCTGCTCATGCTGGTCCTGTTACTGATGTGTCTTTTTCCTTCCCCATATGCCAGCATCCTCTGAGGCCAGGGATCCTTCCTCTTTGATTCAAGGGCCCTGGGTGGTCCCTGCTTATAGCTCTTCCCACATTGCATTCTGTCCTCATGACTGACATACCCCCTGGACTGTGCGCTCCTAGTGGCAAAGCTTTGTCTTTGTTTTTTGTTTTTTTTGTCTTTTTCCTTTTTATCGGTACCGGAGATTGAACTCAGGACTGCCTGCTTGCAAGGCAGGCGCTTATGCTGCTGAGCTAAATCCCCAGCCCCAAAGCTTTGTCTTTGATTGGTCCCTACTTTTCAGAACCTAGTGTTGGTATTTATTAACATGAATAAATATTAGTTGTTAGCAGTATATATGAATGGAGATAGCATTTCTTCAGGATTTAGTAAGGGAATAATTGGGCAGTTGTCTGTATGCATCAGATTCTCTGATCCTGTCCTTTCTCTGAGCAATATGACTGCAAAAGTCACAGAGAAAGTGACTATGGCTATAAAAGGAATTTTGACCCATTCTGTGGTCCATGTCTACTATTTCTGTCTCTATTCTCTCTGGCCCTTTCCCTCCCTTTTTCTTCTCGCTCCTTCTCCTTGCCTCTCTTCCTTTTCTCTCCATTTGTGGTCGTCTGTCTTTCTCTTTTTCTAGTGGTACAAGGCATTAAGCCCAGAGGGTGCTGAACTGCATCCTTAACTCTTATTATTTGCACACCAGGTCTCACTATGTAGTGCAGGCTGGCCTGGAACTCACTCTATAGCTTGGGCTGGCCTTGAGCTCTCTGCAGTCCTCCCACAGCCTCCCAAGTACCTGAGATTGCAGATGTGCCACCTGGCTAGATGTCTACAGTTTCTGTCATGAAGTATGCAAGTATTACATCTGATAGAGTTTGCTTTTCCAGATTATTAAGTGTTAGTCTAGTCCTGTTTTAGCCACAAAATGAAGTATCATTGTGGACTGTCCTCCAGAGGGAGGAACATGGGCTTTTGGTGTCATAGGTACTACCCTTTAACTATTGGTTGTTTGGGAATTGTTAGAAATTTGGCATTCTGCCCAAACTTTGCTTCTTGACTTGCAGGGCCTAATTCATACTGGTTCTGCTGTTCACTGTGACTCATGTGCTGTACATCATAGCATTCAGCCTCTTCTTGGCTTCCTTCAAGCCCAGGTTAACCATCAAGATCCCAGCTTCTATGTAGAACGTGTATTTGGATGAGTTCCTATAGTACTATTGATCTGGAAATAGTGTTTTCAATTCCCTTTCACTGTATGTAGCAGAATAATTTCCTGTTAACTCCAATGATGTTGTGAGCCTGACATGAGGATGTATACATGTAATCCCAGCTACTCAGGAGGCTGAAGCAGGAGAATCATGAGTACATGACCATCCTGTGGAACTTAGCAAGACCTTGTCTCAAAAATTAATTAATGTTTCAACTTTCAGTTTTAGTGTGTTTTAGTGTAAATATCCAGTGGCCAATTCTTCAGTTGAATGCATCTGGGAGGCAGATTGTCTGGTTTGGCCTTCTTATGTTCAGGGAGAGAGCTTTACCTGCTATTCTCTCACTTAATCCATAACCTCCCAGTGAATCAGTAGCATCCTGGTTCACAGCCAAGGACACCGTGAACAGAGAGCCCCAGGGCCAGCCTGGGGCTGCACAGAGCCCAAGTGTGTGGTACTTCCCTGCAGAACTCTTGCAGAGAGGCAGTGCCTAAGAGCCCGCCCCCCCTGCCCTGCAGACTCCATCAGCAGCTACGAAGCTCAGATTGCAGCCCTGAAGCAAGAGCGGCAGCAACAGCAGCAGGACTGTGAGGAGAAGGAGCGGGAGCTGAGCCGCCTGCAGCAGCTGCTGGCCCGGGCCCACCCGCTAGACTCCCTGGAGAAGGAGATGGAAAAGGTAGGAGCTGCATGGCCTGCCCCAGCCCTAGGGCATGGAACTGTTGGGGACTGTTGGTGGCCTGTTCCCTAGCCACAAGTACAGGATGCTGAGTAATGACTGCTTGACATGGACCCTACGAACCCCTCTCTTGAGAGGTGGGTGACCATGAGGGAGGGGACCATCACATAGAGTGCTGTCCTATGCCAGGCACTGTGCTGAGTGTTTGATGGATCCCCAAGCCCCAGACATACATACACCCCATTTTTGCCCAGTTTAGGATACTGAACAGATGAGTATGGTGATATTTAGATTCTCAGTTTGTGAGCCAGGCATGGTAGCATACACCAGTAATCCGAGTACTCAGGAAGCTGAAGGAGGGGAATTGCTGGGAGTTCCAGACCAGCCTGAACTGCATAGTGAGATCCTGTCTCAAAAACAAAACTAAACTAAGATAAGGTTAACAACTTGTACCGGTGAAAAGGAGTGGAGTTAGGTTTGAAAAAATCTAGCAATGTAGTTGTAAGGTTTTATTCTTTCTGTTTATGGCATATAGCCTCTTTTATTATTGCCACTGTCATTAACAGTAATAGTGAACTGCATGCCGTGGTGCATGCCTGTAGTCTGAGCTACTCCAGACGCTGAGGCAAGAGGACCACAAGTTCAAGCCCAGGTTAGGCAACCTGGTGTTTAGCAAGACCCTGTCTCAACATTAACGAGGGCTGAGGGTACAGTTCAGCACTCCGAGTTTGGTCTCCAGTACTAAAAGGAGAGAGTAAAAGAGAGATGTGGGCCATTACGCTGAGCTTGTGTGGGAAGTCTCTGAGTGACTCGGGTAGAAACAGCTGAGTTGGTAAAGAGTGGTGATGAGAGAGGCTGACTGGCTGTTTTTTTTTCTTGTGCATCTGGGTGCATGACAGGGGTGCTTTGCTTTGCTGCCGTGGTGCTTGTGACAGGAGGAGTAAGGTCGGTGAGTAGGGCCCATTTTGGTTGTGTTAGGCTCTGAGAGCCAAGCAGACATATCCAGAGGTTGGCTGTACAAGTTCAGCAGAATCCCAAGCTTCATGGTGGTGACACGAAGGACACACTAGTCAGGATGAAGTTTGGCAGCATGTGATGGAAAACCAAAATTAGTAGTGGATTAAATATGATGAAGGTTTATTTTTCTTATTGTCGATGCTGGTACAGCAGCTGAACAAATCATTAGGAATCCAGGCTCCTTTTATACTGCTGTTTTGCCATAAATAGCAGACTGTCTCATGGTTCCAAATGGCTGCTAAGTGCCAGCCATGACATCCATATTCCAGCCAGCAAGGAATAAAGAAAGATACACCCTCTTCCTTTACAGAGTTATCCTGAAGTTCACATTTGGCACATCTGTTTATATATCATTAGGTGGAACTGAGTTGTATAATCTTTTTGGTTGCAAGGAATCTGAGAAATGTAAATGGTGTTACAGAATGTAGGCCATATGCCTAGTTAAAAATGTGACATTCTATGATCAAAAGCATGGATGTGAGGGAAGAAAGATGTGGGCAAAAATGGGAGAAAGCGAGGGCAACAGGAAAATAGCTGTGAGCTGGACCCTTTTGTCTTCCCACCTCCTGCCTGGTGCCATGTCCTGGAAGCTCTGGGCACCTTTGTCTTTACTGAAATGGGGAGAACCACGCCTTCCAGGGGTAAAGAGCTGGCAGGCTTCATAGACAGCCCTGTACAGACCAGAGGGTGCTACAGCCGGGAAAGGACAGTCACTGCCCAACCACGTCCCTCCAGGCCCACGAGGACTCAGAGAAGCTTCGGGAGATTGTACTGCCCATGGAACAGGAGATTGCAGAGCTCAAGGCGAAGCTGCTGAAGGCAGAGGAGCTGATTCAGGAGATCCAGGTGAGGGGCAGCTCAGGCACTCGGAGTGGCACCAGGGCCTGCAGCACCCTGGCCCCAGCCTCTTCTCTGTTCCTTCCCTAGGGACGTCCCCTGCATCCCCCTTCCCTGCATGGCTCCACGGAGTTACTGTTGCTGTCCCGAAACCCATCTCCCCCCCTGGAGCCCCTGGAGGAGCCAAGTGGGGGCCCGGCAGCTGAGGCCTTTGCACACAACTGTGACGACAGCGCCTCCATCTCCTCCTTCTCCCTGGGCGGCAGTGCCAGCAGCAGCGCCTCCCTGCCCCGTGGCCGTCAGGGCCTGAGCGCTGAGCAGGAAGAAACAGCCTCTCTGGTATCCACAGGGACCCTGGTCCCTGAAGGCATCTACCTGCCCCCTCCCGGTTACCAGCTTGTTCCGGACGCCCAGTGGGAGCAGCTACAGGTGGAGGTGCGTGGTAGAGGGAGAGGCTGCCAGCATCAGGCCTCTTGGGCCTGCCCCCCCGAGGCTGGAGCTAGAGCTGAGGAAGCCACAGAAAAGAGAGGGGCTTTCAGGAGAGGGAAGTGTGTGCAGGCTGGGGGGCAGGGAGAGGCCTGCCGCACTCTGGGCCTCTGTGGAAGGACAGGTTGGGGTGGAACAGGAGATGATGGGAGAAACAGAGTGACCTGTGGGGACTGTAGGTTAGAAAGTCGTTCAGTTCTGCAAGGCTGAGGCAGGAAGATCATGAGTCTGAGCCTAACCTGAGCAACTTACCAACTTAGTGAGATCCTCATAATAAGAAAGAATGTTAGGGGTGTAGCTCACTGTAAAGGCTTTGGGTTCAATTTCTAGTACTACTGCCAAAAAGAGAGAAAGGGTAGCGTCTAGACCAGGAGGTGGTGGTAGAGACAGAAAGAAGCAAGTGAGCAAGTGGATTTGGAACCCACTTGGGAAGAAGGTAGATGGGGCCTGCTGGAGGATAGGTGTGGGCAGGGTGGGGAAAAGCCAGCCTGATGTTGGCTTCTGGCTGAGATGAGTGTGGATGCTGATGCAGCCCAAGACTGCCAAGGAGCAGGAAAGGCCCCTTGGCAGTGGGCTTCAGCTCGGGTCTGTGGCAGGGCCGGCAGCTGCAGAAAGACCTGGAGAGCATCAGCCGGGAGCGGGATGAGCTGCAAGAGGGGCTGAGACGCAGCAATGAAGACTGTGCCAAACAGGTGGGTCTAGACCTCTGCTTGGCCTTGCAGGGCTGCTGAGCACCATGGACCCCCAGGGTCCTCTGGCCTCACCACGCCTGCCTCCCACCCCCAGATGCAAGTGCTGCTGGCCCAGGTCCAGAACTCGGAGCAGCTGCTGCGGACCCTTCAGGGCACAGTGAGCCAGGCCCAGGAGCGGGTACAGCTGCAGATGGTGAGTGCTCAGGGTACAGGCCGAGGGAGGTGGACACCTGGAAAATCAGGCACCTTTCCTGCTTCCCGCTGTTCCTGTTTCCCCCTGACATCAGTGCCAGATAAGATAAAGGTGTTTCAGGCAGCTGGGAAAGGCCAGAACTGATTTTTTTTTTTTAAAGGAAAATAAAGCAAAACAATAAAACAGAACAAAACAAAACAGTGACAATTTCAGAATAAGACAAAAGGGAATCCCCCATACTTGCTATATGGCATATTGTTGTCCTCTAAATAGATGATGAGACTAATGGCTTCAGGCCTGCAAAGTCATTCAAACAATAGAAGCATTAAGTTGTTTTTTTACTTTAGTTGTTATCATCTCAGCCTTGGTTCCTCCAAATCAGCCAGTTGCTTAGAAGGGCGGAAAGGGGGGGAGGGGCTCTTCTTGTCTCCCAGCCTTAGGGTCCCTAACCCTAACTCTTAAGTGCAGGCTGGCTCATGGGAGGGTGTGGGTTAGCTTCTTGGTTCTCCCAGTCTGCATGACTGCTTCTGGCTCACAGGAGGGCTCAGTTTGGCTTCTGGGTTCTCCTGGCCTGTGTGGCTGCTGCTGGCTCACAGGAAGGCATGGGTTGGCTTATTGGTTAGAACTATGTGATCTTGAACCAGCCCTACAACCTCAGACTTCCACTTGCCATCTATAAAACTGACCGAGTGGAGCCTAGTTTGCAGTGTCTTGACACTTGCAAGCAAGTCAGATACTCCCCAGGGCCGAGGCAGGGTGGTCAGGACAGGAGGGGCCAAGTATGAGGCAGGGAAGGAGCAGAAGGCACAAGAGGCCTGTGCCAGTGGCTGCCACTGTTAACTGCCCTGATCTTCTCACCTAGGAACAATGGCTCCAGACAGCCAGATATTCTAATTTTTTTGTTTGTTTGTTTTTGTTTTTGAGACAAGGTGTCACTATGTAGCCCAGGCTGGCCTGAAACTCACAGTAGTCTTCCTTCCTCAGCCTCCCAAGTGCTGGATATGTACCACTATGCCCACGTATATATTCACATTTTTCAAGGGAATCCAGAAATCACTCAGCATGGTGGCACACACCCATAATCAAGAGGCTGAGGCAGAAAGATCACCACAAATCTGAGCTCATTCCAGACTACATAGTGAGTTCAAGGCCTGAATTACATAATGAGACCCAAAAAAATTAAAAAAAAAAAAAAAAAAACACTGAAAGTGTCCAGGCTCAAACTATGACACATGCCTGTAATCCCAGGTATTTAGGAGTCTGAGGCAATAGGATCTGGAGTTCAGGACCAGTTTGGGCAAGTTAGGAGGATCCCATCTCAAAATACAAAAAGGACTGGAGACATAACTCAGTACTAAAGCACCTGCCTAGCATGCGTGCCCAGTATCACAATTAATAAATTAAATAACTAATTTAACTAGGTTTTGTTAAAATTAATTTTTAAAAATACACGGACCAAATAAAATATCCAACAGGGCTGTGACTACTACTGTTTGAGCCTGAGTCAGCAGGGAGGATATCCAGAATGGGAGGCAAAGAAGCTTTCTGCCCTTCCCCACAGACTGGGACCTTGGGCTTGCTGGCTGTTAGTCTGGTCGGGGACCAGAGACACCCTGTCTCCTCCTTGCCTGGTACTGCTTTCTGTCCACAGGCAGAGTTGGCCACCTCCCACAAGTGCCTGCGCCACGAGGTGAAGCGGCTGAATGAGGAGAACCAAGGGCTCCGAGCTGAGCAGCCACCACCTGCAGCCCCCCAGGGCCAGGAGCGGCTCGAGGGCGAGAAGGAGGTGCTGCCCAGCTCTGTGCAAGTGAGCAGGGTGTGGGCTGCCCTTTCCACCTTCCCATCGGCAGGGTGGCGCACAGGCTGGGACCACTGGCTTGGGCTACAATAGCTGTTTGCCTTGGCCAACTCCCTTGACTCCCATAAGGCCCACTTGCTCATCCGAGAACGGTGTGTCTCCCAGTGTTGGCGCTGTGAGGAAAAGAGTTAGCAGAATAGCACGGGATTTGTTTGTTATTTTTAAGTGACAGGAAGGAGAGCTTTAAGGTTTAATTCACAGGGGCTGGGGATTTAGCTCAGTGGCATAAGTGCCTGCCTGGCAAGCGCCCAGTCCTGAGTTCAGTTCCTAGTACCAATAAAAAAAAAAAAAAAAAAAAGATTTAATTCATCATAATCTTTGGTTCCTAACAAGCCATCTTCATTGATCTATGCATGCCCTTTGTTGATTCATTAACAATAGAATTAATTAATAAGTTGATCTATTAAAAGTATAGAGTGGGCTGGGGATTTAGCTCCGTGCCACAAGTGCTTGCCTGGCAAATTGCAAGGTCATGAGTTTGATCCCCAGTACCAAAAAACAGTATAAAGTTCCCCAGAGTCCCTTCCTACTGAGCATCCCAATTTACTTATTGTATGGTGCTTCTGCATAGCACATGTGCTCCTTGGCTGATTGGCCAGTTTGCTCTTTTCTGGGATGGTTTTCATCTCGTAAGTAATGGACTCCTTAAAGTTGGTTGTTTTGGAGCTGTGGGTCTCTTGTTCTAGGTCCCCACTGCCCTGTGACAGTGTGGTTGTGGTTCATTAATTAACTCTACCATGGAAACTGCAGTAGGTTCACCTGTCCTGCCAGCTGTGGCATTTGGGCTCTTTCCTATCGATTTATTTTCTTTTTGGGACTCAGTCTCACAATACAGTTCAGGCTGGCCTTGAACTCACACGATCTTTCTGCCTCGGCCTCCCAAGCACTGGGATTACAAGCATACTCCCTCACTTCCTATTTTAGCAGTTTCCTTCTTCCCACGGTGCCCTTGGCCCCTGCCCTCCTGTTCCTTGTCCTGTGCCCAGCAGACAACTCTCATCCTTTCCAGGAGCTCCAACAGCTGTTGCACCGCACACAGCAGGAGGCTCACGCCCGGCAGCAGGCCCAGGAGCACAAGGCTGAGCGCCTGCGGATTGAGATTGTGACCCTTCGGGAGGCCCTGGAGGAGGAGACAGCAGCCAGGGCCAGCCTGGAGGGGCAGCTTCGGGTGCAGCGGGAGGAGACAGGTGAGAAGAGGAAGGGCACGAGCCGCCTATCCCACTGCCAGGGTGCTTGACCACCCCACAGGGACATATGGGCCTGGTAGAGGTGAGGAGGGGCAACAATGCGAGAACTAGCTGTGACTTCTCTCCTCCCTCCTTGCAGAGGTGTTAGAGGGTGAGTATGGGCCAGCCCTGCCCAGGACCTGCCTCAGTGGGGCATGCACCTGAGTGGACCTGACTTTCGGCCCCCTTGTACCTGACTTCCCAGCCTCCCTGTGCAGCTTGAGGACAGAGATGGAGCGGATCCAGCAGGAACAGGGCAAGGTGAGGTGGAGCCTAGCCCCAGCTGGGATGGCAAGGGACAGTGTGGCTGTGTGGAGAAGACCCTAGCCAGCCACTCCTACCCTCCATCTCCTATAGGCCAGGCAGCTGGAAGGCCTGAGGCAGCCCCCAGGCTCCAGCAGGACAGAGGTCAGCGCTGGGTGGTGAATGGGCAGTTGTGGGGATGTCCCACTGCCATGGCCACACCCTGGCCCATTTAGACCAAGCCTGTGCCAGGCTCCAGCCCCAAATCTTGTCTCACAGGCCCAACTCACAGATCTCCTCGCTGAACAGAGGGCCAAGGTGCTGCGGCTGCAGGCTGAGCTCGAGACCAGCGAGCAGGTGCAGAGGGATTTTGTCCGGCTGTCCCAAGCCCTGCAGGTATGGTGTGGCCCACCCACAGGCTGGCACAGCTCCCCATGACACTTATGGGAGGATGGTCCCCAGTTAGGGCAGTCCTTTCTTTCCTTCTACAGTTAGTATGGTTCTTCCCAGAGCTATGGCTCCAGAAATGCCAAAACTCTTGTGTGTCTTGGACATAGACAGTCCCATAGCAACCTTAGCACGGGGCCTGCAGGTGGCCAGCCACGCCCACACTGCCCCAGGTTGTGCTCCTGGCACTTGTCCCTGCCCTGGACCCTGATTTCCCATGAATGATGGGAGGGAGGTGACCCAGCCACTAGCTGGGGGAGGGCCACCTTTCCCCACCAGAGCCCCTCTGCATCCATCTGGGGACTCCACAGGTACGCCTGGAGCGGGTCCGCCAGGCGGAGACTCTGGAGCAAGTGCGCAGCATCACAGATGAAGCACCTCTAAGGGACATAAGGGACATCAAGGACACCTGAGGGGCCAGGCGAGGAGTCCCCACATCCACTCTGAGCAGGACTTGCCCTTCTCCACTACAGAACTGGGAGGCATCTCGGTCTTAGGATGGCATCCTCACCCTCCAAGCCCAGTTTGAGGGGCCAGGCAACCACTGCCCAGCACCTCCTCCCAGGGTGGCTGGGCCTTCTGCTCTCAGGGATGACACCTGGGTGAGGGTTCCAACCCCCTCCTGGAACCAGAGGTACAGGTTGACCCTCACAGCTTTCTGGCTGCAGTGCTGCCTCCAGGCTCAGCCCTGTCCTCCAGCAACAGCCACACTGGCATCCCTGGGCATGGTCAGGATGGCCAAGTGGTGGCTGGAAGCCTCTTAAGCATCAGCAGGTTCCTTAAGAGTGCCCTTGACAGCAGCTGCTTTCTGGGCTGTATGACATCAAGACGCTAAGGCTCAAGACATGCATGGAGGCGAGGCCAGACTTTTCTGTCATTTATTTTCAATAAATAAGCAGCTCAGCTCAGTTGCCTTGTCCCTGCAAGCCCCATAGGGTTTGAGGAGGGTGGGTCACAGGGTTCAGAGGGAGGGTGGGTTGCTGAAGTAGGGGAAGGGAAGGGGACCTTGTATTTATAAACAGAAACGTGGGAGTGGAGGGAAGGGGGTGTCTGTGCCACAGCTCTGGCTGAAGATGCGTCACTATGAGGGTGGGGAAGAAGGGGCAAAGGGGCTGGTTACTTCCTTCTTTCATCTTCTGGATCTGGAAGGAGAAAGGGATAAGATGAAGCAGGGGGGCAGGAGGGAGCTAAGTTGTCCTTCCCAGTGCTTCTCCCAGAGCTTACGTAGGCCCCTTTCCCATACTCACCTGTGTCCCCAGATCCCCCCATCCCTCCCCCACTGCAGCCCTAGCAGCAGAGACAGCGAGCGCCACGCAGCGCAGCGGTTGTGTCTAGAGGCCAGTGCCACCAGGGCGAAAGGGTCGGGCAGCGCACTGGCGCCTGTGGCGAGCACACAGCCCACCCTGTGGAAGCATGGCAGGGGCAGCAGCGGCAGTGGCTCCAGGTGGAGCTGCGAGCGCAAGTGACTTCAGCTGCATGGAGAGCTGGGTGGTGGGTGGCAGGGCACAGCAGCTGGGGGAAGGGCAAGAAGGGGGTGATACCTGTGACACGGATTCAAAGACATGGAGGAGGGGGAACAGTTATCCTATGGCCAGAGAGGACAGAGAGAGCAGTTATCAAGGAGGAAGGTGGCCTGCTGGGCCGAGAAGGCTGAGGAGGCTGGGGTCACCCTGGGGAACATGGCTCCACCAGGCAGAGCAGGAGTGGAAAGGGGTCTGGGCTGCCCCTCTCTGGGGGCAGGGGTCCTGCCAGGGCCAGGAACTTACCACCTGCAAAGGAAGAGGTTGGGGGCGGGCGCAGGGAGGGCAGGATGAGCTTGGGTCAGAGGAGGGGTGCCCCTTACCCTCCAGGTAGTTCCGGGCAATGAACTTGAGGATTTCATCCAGCCCAATGACAGGCAGTGAGATTTTGAGGACCATGAGCCACTGCGTGAGGTTCAGGGCCCGGAGCTTGAAGATCATCTGGGAATGGGGACAGCAGCCATGAGAAAGGACAGTTGTGCTTTCAGGAGGAGGCAGAGAGGGAGCCAGGTACCCAGCTGCCCCAGCCCATCCCCCCTTCCCCAGGCAGCACCTCCAGTGTGGGGGATCCCTGCTCCCACATGTGGGAGAACGGGGAACAGAAGGCAGCTCACCGGCAGGGGGTCAACGTAGAGAATGAGGAAATGGAGGGACATGGATAGGCAGATGGAACCCAGCAGCCAGATGTTTACCCAGGGCGGCATCCGCATCAGGGACTGGTTTTCAGACAGGCTGCCATGAAGGCCATGGCCACAAGGGAGGGGGACACAAGGAGAAAGCCATGTGAGGGGAGGAAAGAGGCAGGAGGTCAAGGACAAAGACAAACATCTCTGAGGGGATAGCAGGGTGCAGGCGGCACGCCCTACCTGTTCAGAGCATTGCACATCTCAATGGTGACCAGCACAGACAGGGCCATGGTCATAGGCTCAGGGGCCTCAAAAATCTCACAGTCCATATCCCCAAACTCAGGGTTGTGCTCAGTGCACTGCATAAAGTGGGTCTGCAGGGGAAGGAACAGGAGCCTGAGATCGTGTGGATGTCTCCATGCCACCCTCCTGGTGCCCACCTCTCCACTGTCCTACCAGCTGGTGGTAGGTGACATGAGGGCCATCGTCTGCATACAAGAACCACCAGGCAGCTGCTCCCACGGTGGCTGCACCCACGTAACCTGTGGTAGAGAGGTGGGAGTTGGGGTCAGGGGTGGAGTGACAGGAGGCATGGCTGGGATCGGCTGGCTCAGGAAGAGCCCTGAGAGAGGCGGCGTCTAGGGAAAGACCAGGGAGCCCCATCCTGCTCACCCCCAATGGCCATGTAGCGGAAGAAGAGCCAGCCGCTGATGAGAGGCTCCTTGGGGCTCCGAGGGGGTCGGTCCATGATGTCCAGGTCTGGTGGGTTGAAGCCCAGCGCTGTGGCTGGGAGCCCATCAGTCACCAAGTTCACCCACAGTAGCTGCACTGGGATCAGGGCCTCAGGCAGCCCCAAGGCAGCTGTCAGGAAGATGCTGCCAGAGGAGATAAACTCATGTCTATGCTGCCCAGGCCCTTGGTCACCCCGCCAAGGCCCTGTTCCCCCTCCCCAAATGCCGGTCCCCAGCTGCTCACCAGACCACCTCGCCCACATTGGAGGAGATGAGGTAGCGGATGAACTGCTTCATGTTGTTGTAGATGGCGCGGCCCTCCTCCACGGCAGCCACGATCGTGGAGAAGTTGTCATCGGCCAACACCATCTCTGAGGCTGTTTTGGCCACAGCAGTGCCAGATCCCATGGCAATGCCAATCTCAGCCTTCTTCAGAGCAGGGGCATCATTGACACCATCTCCTGTCTGAGGGGAGAAGGAGGTGGGGCTTGGGGCCTGTTCCACAGCACTCCAGAGGCTGAGCCCTCTGCTTATAAGCAAGAGAGCCATGTTGGCAGGTGCTCAGGACAGCCCCAAGCCTGAGCAGCCAGCTCCCACTCCTCACCATGGCCGTGATCTCATCAAAGGACTGCAGGTACTCCACGATCTTGGACTTGTGTGAGGGCTCCACTCGGGCGAAGCAGCAAGCGCGGCGGCAGGCTTCCCGCTGCTCGGGGAGGGGCAGGTCGTCGAACTCTCGGCCTGTGTAGGCTCGGTCAACCACCTCCTCACTCTCTGAAAAGATGCCAATTCGTCGGCAAATGGCAATGGCCGTGCCCTTGTTGTCTCCAGTGATCATGATCACCCGGATCCCAGCGTCGCGGCACAGCTGGATGGAGCCTGTGACCTCCTTGCGTGGGGGGTCCAGCATGCCCACCACACCAACGAATGTCAGGTCCGTCTGGGGAGACAGAGACAGCTAGAGGTCAGGAAATGAGGCCAGGATAAGCTGGGGGAGCAGGGAGAAATGTCAGGGGCCAGGGTTTGTAGTTTTGGGACCTGGCGTTGGACCTCCATGATACCGGAAGTGTTTCTCATTCCTAGAGGTACCTGCAGGTCCTGGAAGTGCCAGGAATGCTGCAGATGCCAGATTGTACCTTTCCTAGAAACCTGCGAGCTGGGAGAGCAGCAGCTTCTGCTTGTGGCAGCACTATCACTTGACCCAACTTTAAGCACAGCCTATGACCTGCTGGGCCATAATGTCCCCTCTATAAAATGAAGGCAGGGTGTGTTGGGGATTTAGTTCGAGGCACAGTGCCTGTCTGGCAAGTGGACGGTCACAAGTTTGATCCCCAATACAAAAAAAAAAAAAAAAAAAAAAGGCAGTGAGCTGTTCAAAGTCCATGACAAATATCCAGTGCCTTGAGACAGTCTTGCTTCGTGAATGTTGCCAGCCAGATCCCACTGTGTTCAGAATGGCAACAGTTCCCCTTCTGACCCAAGGGCCTCATTTTGTCAGCTCCAGGGCACCACATGTTTAGCATGTGCAAGGGCCTGGGTTCCATGCCCAGCATCACATAAATAAAAATAAAGTAGCACTGGGCCAGGCAATTCCTAAGGCTCCTCCAGACCCTAATGTACTGCAACTCTGTGACCCACACTCCAGGTTGACTAATGAGGTGGGAAATAGCAAGTGGTGAAGGAAGGGCACGAGGGGGCACCTGCAAAGCTGCGTCTTTTTTTTTTTTTTTTTTTTTTTTGTCTTTTTGAGACAGCGTCTTGCTATGCAGTTCAGACAGCTTGAGCTCACTTTGTAGCCCAGGCTGATCTCAAACTTGCAACAATCCTCCTGCCTCAGCCTCCCGAGTGCTAGGGTTACAGACATGCGCCACCATGCCCAGCTAGAACAGCTGCCTCTTTACACATTGCAGACCAATGGGTGGTTTCATCTGCTCACCTCATATTCCATGAACTTGGAAGAATCATCCAGGATCATCTCCTCTCGCTTGGGGGGAGCATCTCGGGTGGCTAGGGCCAGGCAGCGCAGGGTGTCCCGGCCAGTGCCCCACTCTTTGATCACCGACATGATCTTTTCCTTCACTGGACCCGTCAACGGCACCCGAGTGGTGCCCACCCGCACGTAGTTACAGCGGTCGATGACCCCCTCGGGGGCACCCTAGGGGACCAACACAGAGGCTACAGTGGGAGGGGCAAGCAGAGGAGAGGGCCCAGCAGTAGGGAGAAAAGGACACGAAGGCACATTTGGATTTCTGACCTTGACAAACATCTTGTTGCCCACAACAGCCCGGGAAGACTTGGCAGGGGAGCAGTAGACAGACATGGACTTTCTGTCTCGGGAGAACTCCAAGGTGAACTCCTTCTTCATCAGCTGCCGGATCACCTGGGAGAGGGTGGACGGGGAGAGAGAGCTCAGACTCCTCCAAACAGTCAACAAGACTGAGTAGTCAGAGTGGCCCCCGAGCTGAGTCAGGCTAAAACTAAGTCTGGCACCTACGGTATGGATGGAGAGGATTTCAGCTCTAGAGCTGCTACAGAGCTCATGGGGTCCTTAGATCACCACAGTCAGGGTGGCCTGTGTGGCACTGTGCCATGGAATCCTCAGTGATGACAGAAATCTGTAATGTTCAGTAGCTGCTAAGGTACAGGGAGTCCTGGAAACATGGCCAGGGTGACAGAAGAACTGCATTTTTACCAATATTGAATTTTAATTAATTTAAATGAAATGACTACCTGTACAGTATCGTCAGATGGTACAGGCCTAGTGCCTGGCATTGCAGTAAGAAGTCTGAAAGTCGGGACTGGTGGTAGCAGTGAGTATAATTCTAGCACTGCGGGAGGCTGAGGCAGAAGGATTATAGGTTTGAGCCCAGTCTATGCAACTTAGTGGCTCAGCAAGACTCCTCAAAATAAAAAATACAGACTAGGATAGAGCTTAATACAAAGGCCCGGCTTAAAAAAAAAAAGCTTTTTTTTTTCACCAAATATATCATGGACATTTTCCCACAAAATAAAAATTTTAAATACATTCAGT